AAAAAACAAAATAAGATTTCTTCCAACAACTGGTTCTCCAAACTGCTTAGAAAGTTAACCGGTTCTCCCGAATAGGTGCGAACTGGTTGAATCCCACCACTGCCTACAAGGTCCTTTCCGACTCTGTTATTCTGTTATACTCAGAAGCAAATATCTGTCAGTTCAAGCTTACTACTGTACAGGTAGTCTTCGACTTAGCAACCATTTGTTTAGTGGCGATTGAAGTTACGACGTCCCTGAAAAACATGACTTGTGACCATTTTTCAGAGTTATGACCATTGCAGCATCCTCATGGTTGCGAGATCAAAATTCGGATGCTCGGCAACTGGTTTACATATACGACGGTTGCAGAGTCCTGGGGTTATGTCATCCCCTTGACGAATGTATCTTTTCTTTTATGTACACTGAGAGCGTATGCACCAAAGAAAAATTTCTTGTGTGTCCAATCACACTTGGCCAATAAAAAATTCTATTCTGTTCTGTTCTGTTCTGTTCTGTTCTGTTCTATTCTATTCTATTTTCTGTTCTGTTCTGTTCTATTCTATTCTATTCTATTTTCTGTTCTGTTCTGTTCTATTCTATTCTATTTTCTGTTCTGTTCTATTCTATTCTATTCTTTTGTGGCACCTCTGACAAGCAAAGTCAGAAAGGGGAAGCCGGGTTCACGTAAGAACCACATTACTCACTCAACAACGGCAGTGATTCACTTAACAATCATGGCCAGAAAGGTCGTAAAATGGGCAAAACTCACTTAACAAACACATCTTGCTTAGTAACAGAAATGAGCTCAATTCTGATGATAAGTCGAGGACTACCATATGTTCTACGATTGAAGTTGGTTTGAGGGCTGCAAACATGTCATTATTAACAGCCTCCAGGTCATTCAAGATTTGAGTGCATAATTTGAATTTGTGACTGAACAGGTAGCGGTGGGATCAGGAGGCAGGCGGGCAAACCCAGGAAGAAGATGCTGTGCGAGTGGACAGGTGGCTGTTACATTGATCTCTACTCGCTTAGCATAGATTAGCATAACATAGGTTAGCATAGGCTGCCACAGAGAAGAGGGGGTCAAGCTATTCTCCAAAGCACCTGAAGGCAGGATAAGAAGCAATGGATGGAAGCTAATCAAGGAGAGAAGCAACCTGGACTTCCGGTTTCCTTGTCTTCGGCGACGGCGGCGCTCTTTGAAGCTCCGCCAGCCCCACCGCCTGTAGAGCCGCTTCGCGATCGAGAAGCGGCTCGAAAACTTCAAAATCCTGAGGATTGTTGGAGGAGAGATAGCAGGGCACAGGTCGAGCCCCTGTAACCCCCCAGGGAATTGTTTCTGGGGAGGAAACAGGCGCGGCTCCCTTCCAACCTGCTGAGACTCCGGGCGGCGTGGGACGATTCTGCTTTTGCAGAACAAGCCGGCTGCAGGAAACTTAAAGCGAAAGAACCAGCTTTAATAAACAGCGAAACTACCTGAATCCTGAAATTTGGAAACGCAAGTATTAGCACTTTGTTGACTTTTCAATCTGAGAAAATGCAAATGAGTGAAAGTGCTTTGAAAAAACATGGCGCCTAGCTTCAGAGTTAACGAGCCAGCGAGTGTGGATTGGTGAAGTTACTTTGTTTTGCTACAAAGTTTCCAAGTTGCTACTAAGCTGCCTTGCTTGTTATAAGAGAAATAACTCGGAAATTTTTTCCCTTTTCAATATTGGACTTTGCTTTATTTTAACCCTTGTTTGATCAAATCTGGGGGACTTTTTTAGAAGTCTTTGTGCAGGAGGGAAAGGAAAAGGAACCTCCCTCTTTAGAAAAACTAGATCACGAGCCAGGATGGCTTCAAAGAAGCAGGAAGGGAAGGCATTAGGGGGGGGATCCCCCACACACAAACAGCAAACGCAACTTCCCCCTGCTCAACAGTTACAAACTCAGAAAAAAGAATTTGATGTGGCAGATTTAAAAGAATTTATTTCTAAAACTTTGGATGATAAATTTCAAGAATCACAACAGGAACTTCAAAAATCACATCAGGAATTTTTGCAGGAAATTAATGAAATTAAAGACATGGTGAAACAGAATCAAATTATGGTGACCAAAAAAATATCAGAAGTGGCGTCTGGCCTGGCAGATTTTATTGGGAAAGTTGATTTTAAAGTTGAAGAATTTAAATCAGAAGTTAATGTTAGGATGAAAGACAATGATTATAAAATTGATGAAGTTGACAATAAAATGCAGAGAATTGAAGATGAGATTGTTATGATACAATTCCGGGCGATGGAATTTGCCATACGGCTTCGGGGAATTCGAGAGGAGGAAAGACAGGACTTGAGACAAGTTTGCTCTGAAGCCCTGGCTAAGATTCTACAAGTTAATCCTGATTTGGTATTTCATAAAATAGATAAAATTTACAGAGTGAACTCTTGGGTGGCCAGGCAAAGACAATTACCCAGAGATGTGGTCATATACTTTACTGAGAGAGAAATTAGAAATGATATCCTGCAAAAATCTTTCCACACCTCTATACAAGTGGGGGGCTCACGGCTTGTAATTTTTAAAGAGTTACCTCCTAAAATGCTGAAAGCTAGAAAAGAATTTGGTTTTTTTGTTAAGGAATTGAAAAATTTACAGATACCCTTCCGGTGGGATGCACCAGCTGGGGTAATTTTCAGATATAAGGGAGAAGGATATCGGTTGAATACCGTGGAGAAGGCGCAACACTTTTACAGTACTATTCTTATGGAAAGAACACCATCTCCACGTACATCTACAGTTCTGGAGATTAAGGAGAGTGAAGAGAGGCAATTGAAAGAACAGTCTAAGCAGGAATTAGAAAACGTGCAAGGTGCAGAAGGAGGTATTCTGAGTGAGCCATCGCTGGATTCTTCTCCAATTTTGGATTTGATTCAGTTGACTGAAGTTAAAGATCAACGTATAACTAGAGCTCAATCCAAGCTACTTAAACAGAAGCAACAACAACAACAGGAAAGACAAGACAAGAAGGCAGTTAAGAGCACTGCACAAGAGATTGGCGCTATGGGAGGAGCGAGATCGAAGCTTGTGGATGAACTTCAAGCATATTGCTCCGCGCTCCATGAAGAGGCTAATGACCTTTAAGTGTTTATCTTGGAATGTCAATGGGTTGAATTCAGCACAGAAAAGGAAAAAATTATTTACATATTTGAAACAATTTAATAATGATATAATATGTTTACAAGAAACGCACATTACAACTCAAGATCAAAAATATTTGATAAACTCAAAACTAGGAGCACATTATATATCTTCAACTTCGCAGAAAAAGAATGGTGTGGTTATTTATGTAAATAAAAAATTAACAGCAAAAGTTATAGAAGTAGATCAAGATGGTAGATTTGTAGCAATTGAATTGTTTACAGCAAATGGTCAAATTCTTTTGATTGGAATTTATGCTCCCAACCAACAACAGGATTATTTTTACAAGATGTTACATACTAAAATATTGCAATGGGACTACAGATCTATTTTAATTATGGGAGATTGGAATGGAGTAATCGATTCTAAATTAGATAAAAAGAGCTTGGCAAAGTCTAGAATTAGATTACCACAGACCTTTTTTGATATGAAAGAAGATATGGAACTAAAAGATGTTTGGAGAATACATAACCCAAATGAATTGGATTACACTTTTTTTTCTGATAGACATAGATCTTTTTCTAGGATTGATTTTATCTTGTTGTCAAATGATCTACTTGTTAAGACAAAAAGAACAAAGATTTTTCCAAGAATTTTGACTGATCATAGTCCTGTATGGATAGAAATCGAGATGGATAAGGTTGAGAGACGTTCTTGGAGATTAAATGAGAACCTGTTTAGATATGAAAAAAATATAATAGAACTTAAAAAGCATTTGAAAGAATTTTTTGAAATAAATTTGAATAAAGGTACCCCAGTTGAAATTGTTTGGGATGCAAGTAAAGCTTATATGAGAGGGGTACTTATCTACATGAATTCTAAACATAGACTGTTCCGACAAAAGAAAAGATCTGAGTTGGAAATGGAAATAAAGAATAAAGAACAGTTACTTATTAAAAACCCAACAGATGAAAGAATACGAAGTGCTATAAAACTTTTGAAAGACCAATTCCAAATGCTTATGGCGGAACAAGTTGCAACAAGTTTACAATACGCGAAGCATAATACATTTTGCAATGCTAATAAACCGGGCAGATGGTTGGCTTACACATTGAGGAAAAAACAAAGTATACGGACTATTGATAGTATTGATATTGGAGGGAAAGAAATCTTTCAACAAAAACTAATTAAAGAAGCTTTTGTGGACTATTACACTAAACTATATGCCAAAGATGAGGTGCAGAATGGACTTATAGAAAAATATTTAAAGGATAAGAGAGTTACAAAAATTACTGATCAACAAAAGGAAAGAATGAATTATCCTATAACAGAGGAGGAGATAACAGCAGCAATTAAACAGCTAAAAACAGCCAAAGCTCCTGGCACGGATGGTTTGACTGCAGTGTATTATAAAACTTTACAAGCTGAAATGGTGGGACAACTTAGAGATTTATTTTGCAATATTCAACAAGGGGGTAAAATACCCCCATCCTGGACAACTGCTTATATATCTTTGATACCAAAAGAACAAGTTGGTCCTAAAAAACCAGAGAACTACAGACCAATATCTCTTTTGAATACAGACTATAAAATTTACGCGAAGGTATTAGCCAACAGGTTGATGCCAGTAATCCAAAAGGTGATTCATGAGGACCAAGCGGGATTTATTGAGGGTAGATACATGAAGGACAATGTAAGGCAAGTAATAGACTTATTGGAATATCTTGATAAGAATAAACAGATTTCTGCAGTGCTGGTCTTTTTGGATGCGGAGAAGGCCTTTGATAGAGTGGATTGGAATTTTCTACTAAAGACTTTAAAAAAGATGGGCTTTGGGGACCAGTTTACACAGGCAATTTCAGCAATTTATCAAGAGCAAAAAGCACAGATTATTATTAATGGAAGTTTGACGACAGAGTTTAAAATTGAAAAAGGAACAAGACAGGGATGTCCGTTGTCCCCACTTTTATTTATTTTAACACTGGAAGTCTTGCTAAATACAATACGGGACTCAAAAATTTTGAAAGGCATAATGATAAGGCAAGAGGATTATAGAGTAAAGGCATTTGCAGATGATCTGGTGGTTACCCTATCACAACCAATGGAATCAATAATCTTGATGAACGACATTATACAAGACTATGGTAGAGTTTCAGGTTTCAGAGTGAACTCAAAAAAGACTAAAACGATAGTCAAAAATATGACACAAGATCGTAAACACGAGTTTGAAAGGAGGGCAGGTTTTGAAATTGTACCTAAGGTAAAATATCTTGGAGTTCAGGTTGCAGAATCAAACATGAAATTGTTTCAAAATAACTATGAAGTGTTGTGGCGAGAGGTTCAGAAAGACATGGGGACTTGGAAAAAGCTGCAACTGTCTTTACTTGGAAGAATAGCAGCAGTTAAGATGAACATTTTGCCAAGATTTCTGTTTTTGTTTCAAATGATTCCGGTGCTTAAAAGTGATAAACAACTGAAAGTTTGGCAAACTGGACTTAATAAGTTTGTCTGGAACGAGAAAAAGCCGAGAGTGAAATTGAAAATTATGCAAGATGTTCCAGAAAGAGGAGGCCTTAAACTTCCAAACCTACAGTTATACTATGATGCAGCAGCTTTAACTTTAACAAGTGATTGGTTTGGAAGTAAAAAGGCTGGAATATTGAATGCAGAAAGTTTTGATCTTGAATTTGGATGGCATGCTTACCTATTTTATGATGACAAAGTTGATAAAGTATTTAAAAGTCATATACTTAGAGACTCTTTGATGAGAGTTTGGAAGAAGCACCGACTCAAATGGGATTATAAAATACCGCTATGGCTGGATCTTGGTCATACCTTGTGGAATACAAATATAATGTCACTCGGGGGGTTTTTATACAAAGAGGTTCTTTTTACAGATGCGGGCAGATGGCAGTTGAAGACATTGCAGACACTGTTGGACGAAGGGATTAATTTAACCTGGTTACAATATAATCAATTACAATTGAGATGGAAAGAGGACCAAAAAACTGGTATTATGTTGCATGAGGAAGAATTGGTTAGACATATAAGAGAGAAAGGTCCAATGCATATTAAAAGGCTTTACAATGTTTTGCTAGAAAGGGATTCAGAAACGGAATTAGTTAAAGATTGTATGATTAAGTGGGCACAAAATTTTGAAGAACCAGTGATGTTGGAAACATGGGAAAAAATTTGGGTTCAGAATGTTAAATTTACACAGTCGCAGAATTTGAGGGAAAATTTTTATAAAATGTTTTATAGATGGCATCTAGATCCTAAAAAGCTGTCATGTATGTACCCTAATGTTCAGCCAAAATGTTGGAGATGTGAATGTTTGGATGCTACGTATTATCATGTTTGGTGGACCTGTAGGAAAGTTAAGGCTTTTTGGATAAAAATATGGTGGGTCATGCAGAATGTTTTGAAGAAAAAAATTCAATTTTCTCCACAATTGTTTTTATTGGGCATAGTTAAGGGTTTTACACGGGATGAAACAAAATTAATATTGTATATGATAACAGCAGCAAGATTGTTGATAGGTAAATATTGGAAGAATGAAGCCTTGCCTACTATCGAGGAATGGACTTCGAAGATGGCTAGCTTTGCAGAGATGGCGAAGATTTCAGCATATTTAAAAGATTGTTCACAAGAGACTTATGAATGGGAATGGAAAAGGTGGATAGAATATGTTCAGAACAAATACCAAATTAGAAAGTATCAAATAGCTTTTATTTGAAAACAATGTATTAGAAATATTTTAATATAAAGAGACAAAGAGGGAAAATTATGTAGGGGGAGGGATGGGTTCAGGTATATATATCAGTGTTATTAGTTATGAGTACATAATAGGGAAGTCTGGGGGGGGGAGGGTTAGGGAGGGTTAGGGAGGACGGGAAGTTTGGGGAGGGAGGTGGGGGGGTGAAAAAAAAGGGGTGAAAATGTAATTGTAAAACTTTTGCAATAAAAAAAAAGGAGAGAAGCAACCTGGAATCGAGGAGAAACGTCTTAACAGTGAGGCCAACTAATCCTGGAACAGCTTGCCTCCAGAAGTTGTTCCATTATTGGAAGTTTTTAAGAAGAGTGTCCATAGAAATTCCTTGAAGAAGAGATTGGACAGCCATTTGTTCGAGTAGGGCCGTGATGGCGAACCTATGGCACGAGTGCTACAGGTGGCACACAGAGCCATATCTGTGGGCATGCGAGCGTTGCCCTACCTCAGTTCAGCCAGTGGTGGGTTCCTCCCGGTTTGGTCCGGTTCGGCCGAGCTGGTAGCGGTGACGATAAGACGTCACCGAACCGGTTCTCCCCCCGCCCTCCCATCCCCCCCCACCCACGTTATTCTTACCTTTTATTTGGTCCCACCCCCCAATCTATTGCTGCCTCCTGAGTCCCAGCTGATGACTAGAGGGAAAAAAAACTGTTTAAACTCTTGCCGTGGGGCTTCAAAGGGCCGCCCTACAGCTGATCAGTGTTAAAAGCAAACAAATGAGTTGGGTCGTAAGTGCGAGGACTGGTCGTAAGTGCGAGGACCTTCCAGAAATGACTCTGACCAGCTAGCCACGCCCACCTAGTCACATGACCTCCAAGCCACACCCACAAAATAAGCCACGCCCACACAACCAGCAGTAAAAAAATTTAGAACCCACCCCTGAATTCAGCATGCATGTGTGCACTTGCCAGCTGATTTTTGGGCCTTCCGGGCCCACCGGAAGTCAGGAAACGGGCTGTTTCCGGGCCTACGGAGGCCTCGGGGGTGGGGGGGTGGAGGTGGGGAAGGCTATTTTCACTCTCCCCAGGCTCCTAAAAGCCTCTGGAGCCTGGAGAGGGCAAAAAATGGGCCTACTGGGCCCACCATGCCATCGCGTGCCAAAAGGGGGCGGGGGGGTCATGCGTGCATGCATGGGGTGATGGAGCACATTGAATTATGGGTGGGGGCATGCGCGCGCACAATCCCCCCCACTCCCCCCGCTTTTGGCACGCGACAGCAAAAAAGTTAGCCATCACTGGAGTAGGGGGTTTGGACTAGAAGACCTCCAAGGTCCCTTCCTGCTTGGTTATTCTACGCTGTATCGTATAAACAATATTGTATGCTTCTTTTTTTCTGGTGTGTGCCTGTTTTCTGGTCCTGCTTCCCTGACTATATTCCTTAATAAATACTCAATTTTTCATTTGGATCTGAGGATTCACACGAGATGCTGAATTTGATCAGTAGAGCAACATTGGTTGATTTCGGGTGGAGCCGAGTGGGGTGGAAACAACTTTCACTACTTACTACTTCAAGGACTCCCTAATAGTGTGTGAATCCAGAAAATGGATGCATTAAGTAATTACACCAAGAGTGTGTGTGTGTGTGTGAATAGGTATAGGAACCTGGTTTCTGGCGGCAGGAGAATGTTTTCTGGCACTCCTGTAATTATAATAATCCATTCTTCTATTCTATTTCCTTTTCATTCATTGAAATCATTTGGTTCGGTGGCATTGCAACCAGACATATCCGCAGGTGTGGTTAGAAAAAAGTCAAGAATGTGGCTGCACTTTTATGTGGGTCACAACAGAGTTTCAAAGGCCATCATCTTGACATATTTTGACCACAACCTGATCACAAGAGTATAATTTAGCAGTTTAAGGATAGCAAAACTGGTTAAGTCAAAAGAGAGTGAATCTGGGGTGAAATGCTCCCGGTTCGGACCGGATTGACCGGTAGCGATGGAGGCGGGTGGTTCAGAGAACCGGAAGCAGAAATTCCTGCCCTCCCCCATTGCCCAGTTGAGCCCGCGATCATTAGAAGCTTTTTTTTAATTTTTAAAAGCATTTTTTCTGCAACCTCTTAACTTTGTAGAAAAAATGCTTTTAAAAGTAAAAAAAAATAGCCTCTGATGATCGCGCAGCTCAGCTGGGATCATCAGACGCTTTTAAAAGCATTTTTTCTACAACCTCGGCCGAAGAGGTTATAGAAAAAATGTTTTTAAAAGGAAAAAAAGCCTCTGCCGATCAGGCAAGTCAGCTGGGATCATCAGAGGCTTAAAAAAAAAAAAAAGCCTCTGCCGATCAGGCAAGTCAGCTGGGATCATCAGAGGCTTTAAAAAAAAAAAAAGCCTCTGCCGATCAGGCAAGTCAGCTGGGATCGTCAGAGGCTTTAAAAGCATTTTTTTTTACAACCTCTCCAGCCGAAGAGGTTGTAGAAAAAATGGTTTTAAAAGTTAAAAAAAAAAATTGGCCACGCCCACTCAGTCATATTTTCCCCCCCAAGCCACGCCCACAGAACTGGTAGTAACAAATTTTACATTTCACCACTGGAGTGAATCTGGGTATGTCTAGTTTAGTGAAAAGAAGGACTAGGGCAGTGATGGGTTTCTCCCACTTCGGGAGCAAGTGGCGGGAGGCTCCGCCCACCCGCCAGGACGTCATCACGGATGCTCTGCGCATATGCAAAAGGCTCTGCGCATGTGCAGAAGTGCCAAAGCGTGTATGCGCGCATGCGTGCGAACTCACAGTTCCGAACTGGTAGTGAAGGTAAGTAAAACCCACTATTGGACTAGGGGTGACATAGCAGTCGCCTAGTATTTGAGGGGCTGTCACAAAGAGGAGGAGGTATTCTCCAAAGCAGCAGAAGGCCAGACAAGGAATAATGAATGAATAACGAATCAAGGAGAGAAGCAACCTAGAACTAAGGAGAAATTTCATGACGGTGAGAACAATAAACCAGCAGAACAGAAGTTGCCTCCAGAAGTTGTGGGTGCTTCATCACTGGAGATTTTTAAGAAGAGATTGGACAGGGAATTACAAAAAATAAAACCACACACACACACACACACACATGTTTTTTCATATTGCTAGTCCACATTTTTATTTTTATTTTATTTCAAAAGACATTTCAACACCACCTCACTTATTTAAAAACAAAATGAAAATACAGTGTTTCCAAATCTTAATTTAAAAAAAAAAAAAGAATTGCTCTCCAAGGATACTTAGGGAAAATGAAACGAAGACTGTATGAGCTACTGGAAGGAAAGTCGGAATAGCAAAATAATAATCCGGATTCATATTTTGCCTGATATCACATTTCTTCCTTTTATAAGGTATTTCCAACCCTCCTGATCGTCGTCTTCTGACAGAAACGCCATAAAAATCTTTGCCACTCCATTGAGTATAATCTTTTCCAGAAATCGCTTCCCTGAACAGTTGTATTTTAACTCTGCCACGGTCTCAATTACCTAGATAATAAAGGGGAAAATGGGACCGTGTATTTTGGCAGGGATGAGAAATGGACAGCATTTTTTTTTCCAGATGTTCTTTGACCAGCAAATGTGGCTCTCTTTAAGTAACAAAAATAAGGAAAACGTTGGACTGAAGAAAGGAAAGATGAAGGAAATGGGAGAGATGAAATTTAAATAACAAAAATAAGGAAAACGTTGGACTGAAGAAAGGAAAGATAAAGGAAATGGAGAGATGAAATTTAATAACAAAAATAAGGAAAACGCTGGACTGAAGAAAGGAAAGGTAAAGAAAATGGAAAGATGAAATTTAAATAACAAAAATAAGGAAAACGTTGGACTGAAGATAGGATAGGTGAAGAAAATGGAGAGATGAAATTTAAATAACAAAAATAAGGAAAACGCTGGACTGAAGAAAGGAAAGGTGAAGAAAATGGAAAGATGAAATTTAAATAACAAAAATAAGGAAAACGTTGGACTGAAGAAAGGAAAGATAAAGGAAATGGAGAGATGAAATTTAAATAACAAAAATAAGGAAAACGTTGGACTGAAGATAGGATAGGTGAAGAAAATGGAGAGATGAAATTTAAATAACAAAAATAAGGAAAACGTTGGACTGAAGATAGGATAGGTGAAGAAAATGGGAGAGATGAAATTTAAATAACAAAAATAAGGAAAACGTACTGACAAAAGGAAAGGGAGAGATGAAATTTAAATAAGGAAAAAGAGTGAAGAAACAAAAGATGAAGAAAATGGAGAGATGAAATGGGATAGAGGTTGAAAAATTGTCAGACACACATACTAGAGTGGTGTTTCTTGACTTTGGCAACTTGAAAACGGGTGGACTCCAACTCTCAGAATCCCACATGCTGGCTGGGAAATTCTGGGAGTTGAAGTCCGCCCATCTTCAATTTGCCAAGGTCGAGAAATACTGTCCTAAAAAAGGCCATTAATAACTCTTTTCTTCCAACAACCATCAGTTCAACTAGTTTTTGTGCCATTTTTTTTTTTTGGGGAGGGAACACCCGAACATTTAGCGTTTGATCCAAGATAGGCGGCAAATAAATTTCATAATAAATAAATAATAAATTAAGAGTTGAGGAGGAAACGGAGAACCAGGGAGATTTAGTGGTATAAATCTCTTCTCTGCCAATTTGCCCGCTTCGGTCGTGCTCTTGTGGGGAATTTAAGGTGCTCCGTGTGCTGCTCGACAAACACCTCGTGAAGAATTCAATATCAATGTTGAGGGATGTTTGTTTATAACAGTGGTGGGGAACCATTGGCCTTTTTATGACTTGTGGACTTCAACTCCCAGAATTCTTGAGCCAGCAGAGGAATTCTGGGAGTTGAAGTCCACAAGTCATAAAGAGGCCAATGGTTCCTCATCATTGGTTTAAAACTACAGTAAGGGTGATGCCCAAGTGGAAAACTGCAATATAAAACAACAAACAAATCCACAGTGGAGGAACAATGCGCCAGTTCAGAAGTATCTGGAGAGCTAGGATCTCTGGGCTGGCCTAGACCAGGTTTACATAGGCTTGGAACCTGGCTTAGTGCAGACCTACCATGTGATAAAGAGTCCAGCACAAGCCATAATGATGTCTTGCGCAAATAACCCAACAGACGTTTTTGATAAATGATGTCATTATATACACTACAGAATTCACAAATTCACTTACCCTGTTTTGACCACATCATGCAGACACTGATGTTTTTTGTAAGCCGCAGAAACGCTGAAAACCAAATTTATGCCCTAATTTTATTGCTCTCGAACCCTACAGAGTAGAAGAACTCAGCACCGGCGGTGTGCAAAACCCATTTATTCTGACCTCTCTTGACTGTAAAATGTCTCCCTTTGAACACAAAATGGCTGACTCGCCATTTTGACTCATCTTGATCATTTAGGAAATATTTCCAGCTCAAAGCATCTTCGGTTCGCCCCTCAGTTTTGAGCCCAAAACACTTCATCAATGATCAAAATGTCTCGTTTTTTTCAACTCAAGATGAAGCCAGGGAGGAAAATTGGAATAGTTGAAATTCAAAATGTTTTGGACAGCCAAAGCTCCAATTGGTGCGTATTCCAACTTTTTGCTGCTTCAACTTTCTGAAATGTTTTACAACCTCCTCTTTCTTTTTCCACCATCGTTCCTTCCGTTTTCGTTGGCAAAACCTATCTTTCTGCAGAAGTGCCGATCGCTACAAAAATACAAGCACACACACCACACCGAGAGAATATTAGTGCCACGGACCAAAAACCAATTTGAACACTATCACATGTACATAAATTTTCATCGATGTTTAAAGGTGGCCGGAATGAGAAAAGAAAGGAATAGAGATGCAGGCAAAACCAGGAAGAAATTTTGAAGATTTCAACATCAGTTGAAGTTCAGATATGTATTTTTTTAAGGAAAAAACCAAAACAGGAGGGAAATTTGAGCTGGGATGTCATTCAAGTTTGTTTCTACAGAAAAGTTGGTTAAAAGTCACAGATGTTCCTCTAATCCAAGAAGCTTGGAGATCCAACATACATTTTGGAATGATTTCAATTTAAACTAAAACAAGTTTGACTTCCTTCTAAAGGTCTCCATTTTGCCTTCCTGCAGCAAAAGCATCACTCCAAAATTACATTTTCATCACAGCCTTGAAAGAGACCTGCAGAAACCGAGAGGATGGGAAAGGAAGAGATTAAAAACAAATAACTTGGATAAGTCAAAAAGGAAAAATAAAATAGGTTATCGACTTCAGGATGTTGCTTTTACAGAACAGGAATTTGGACGCAGAAGCTTGAGAAACGCATCCAAGAAAAATGAGAAACAAAAGTATTTTTAACAGTAGACAAATAATCCTCAGTTTATAACCACAATTGAGGCCAAACTTTCCACTCCCTAGCAAGGCAGTTGTTATGTGTGTTGTGCCCCATTTTATGACCATTTTCCCACAGTTGTTAAATTAATCATTGTAGTTGTAAAGCGAATCACCCGAATTTTAATCATATGATCACAGGGATACTGCAAGGTAAGTGTGCTAAATGATCATGAGTCACTTTTTTCAGTCCCATTGTAATTTCAAACGGTCACTAAACGAATGGTTGCAAGGCGAGGACCACCTGTACTGGATAATTACAGAAAAGACTCATTGAGCGTTTTAGTGATGGATCCAATTGGGATGCAGGAGGATATTCAGATTTTAATCTCTTAATCGAGATCAGCATTTGTCAACCTTGGCAACTTTAACACTTGTGGACTTCAGCTCCCAGAATTCCTCAGCCAGCATGGAAGAGAAACTGGAGCTGGAAACTAGAACTCAATTTACTTCTGTACAAAAATTGGCTGCAAGTCAAAGATGTTCCTCAGGGGTGGGGAATGATGGGCCTTTTATGACTTATGACTTGCCAGAATTCCTAAGGCAGCCATGATGGACTTCAACTTCCAGAATTCCTAAGGCAGCCATGATGGATTTCAACTCCCAGAATTCCTAAGGCAGCCATGCTGGCTCAGGAATTCTGGGAGTTGAGGTCCACCAGACTTAAAATTGCCAAGGTTGGAGACCCCTGGACTAAAGGATCTCACGGTCCTTTTAATCTTTACCGTCTACAATTCTAAAAAATAATTCAAAATGACCGGGAATACTTTCTGCCTCCCTTCTCCCCCACCCTTTCCCCCCCCCCCCCCCACATTTCTTTGGAAATTTTAGCAGGCCAAATAAAACAAAGCTTCTGATCTTGCTCATAAACGCATAAACTCGTAAATTAAAAAGCCTATTTTATGGCTTTTTAAATTAAAAAAGAGACGGGAAGAGCGAAAGAGAAGCCAGAGGAATGTTCAGAAAGAAGGAGCAGAAAGGGGAACTTTTAAAAAATTGGCTTACTGTAGCCTTGGGGGGGAAATTAGTGGATTCCTATACCATGAGGCACTGAAGAGGCAGAATTGTTTGGAAAATATACATCGGGATCGTGGCCCACTTAGAAGTTACCATACATCACAATTAGCTTGTTCTATAGTTGGGGTATGGTGGGAATCCAGCGCATTAATGGATAGATCAAATGTATAGCCTGTCTCACTACATAAGTGACTCTGAGTGGTTTACAACAGGGATGAGATTCAAAAATTTTAGCAACCGGTTCTCTGCCTGGCTGCTGGGTGGGCGTGGCAACGGTGGGCGTGGCCTACTCGGCCTCCTGCACCATGGCGAGGGGCGGGGGCGTTTTCGCCCTCCCCAAGCTCTGGAGGCCTTTTTCGAGCATCCGGGAGGGCGAAAATGGCCTCTCTTGGGCTCCGGAGGCCCTCTAGAGGACGGAAACGGGTTCGTTTCCAGACTTCCGGAACTTCTGGGAGGCCCATTTTTCGCTCCTCCCAAGCCTCCATGCGGGCACTGCACTTACCTGGCATCCAAAACAGGCCGCATGGAGACTCCTGGGAGGGGAGGGGCAGAGTGGGCGGGGACAGTCAGTCCTTGCAACTACCGGTTCGGTGAACCAGATCTAAAATTAGCATCCAATTCGCCCGAACCGGGCTGAACCGGCTGAATCCCACTCTTGGTTTACAAGTAAAAAAAAAAAAAGATAGAAAAATATATAAAGGTAAAAAAGATGGAGAGAGCCAGCAAACACCCCCAGGGTTGCATGCCAATCTCAGAACCTCATGCTTAGTTGGCTTAATAAATTGGCTTATGGTTTAGTAGAGTGTGAAAATTAGGCCTATGAGATCTCCAGATGGGATATAGTAGGCTGGTCTAGAAACCAGGAGACTAGGAGTTCTAGTACAGCTTTAGGCGTGAAAGCCGGCCTTAAGCATGAAAGCCAACTGGGTGATTTTGGGCCAATCACCAGGAGATGGTGAGTTCTAGTCCCACCTTAAGCATGAAAGCCGGCTGGGTGACTTTGGGCCAAACATCAGGAGGCTGGGAGTTCTAGTTGTACCTTGGGCTTAGAAACTGGTTGGGTGATTTAGGGCCAATTACTAGGAGATTGTGAGTTCTAGTCACGCCTTAGGCATGAAAGCTGGCTGGGTGACTTTGGACCAATCACCAGGAGACTGGGAGTTCTAGTCCCCAAGCGGACAGACTCAAATGTGCCAGAGTTTTAGCCTAGTGGAAATGTCCCTTACTTGGGGCAGCCTTGAAAGAAGCACTAGCTGGAAACATTTACATTATTCTTCTCTTACAGCCCTTTAACACAGTGGCAATAGAGCTGCACCCCCTCTTGACATGCCTGTAGTTTCCTTTTTCCGCCCACTAGGATTCTGATCTTTGCTGTTTTTAATTTTTTTTTCTCCTTGGTCCATGACTTTTTGGTTACTTAATACTGCGTTGTTTTCTTTGGACGGACAAAATGGACCGGGTGCCAAATCCCAAACGAAGGAAGAGCTCACCTCTTGCAGTCTTTGTCCCAAAGTCTCCTTGCTCCAAATGCTCTTCCTGTAGAAAAGCAAACACAACCTCATTAGAAGAGACCAAAGTGCAGAAGGGGGTCTTATCACGGGCTTCCCTGGAGAATTCCTCCAAGCTTCTCGTTTTTGTTCTTTATTACTAGCAGAATCTCGGATCATCACACACAGAGCACGGCATAAAAACTCCCGTGTTCCGAAATCAAATGCAGGAAGTGGCGATGTTTTAGGAGCAGTAAAGATGATCTCTTAGGATGTCATTGCCCATAGTCTGTCTTCCTTCCCTCCATCTCCTTCCTTCCTTTTCCTTCCTTCCTCCATCCACTTTCGTTCCTTGCTTCCTCCCATGCATCCCACCAACCAACCATCTATCCATCCACTCACTCTTTCCTTTCTTCTTTCCTTTCCTCCCTCTCCTTCCTTCCTTCCCTCCCTCCCTTTCATCCGTCTCTTCCTTTCCTCCATCTCCTCCTTTCTTTCCTTCCTTCATCCATCCACTTTCGTTCTTTGCTTCCTCCCATGCATCCAGGCAACCACTATCCATCCACTCACTCTCTTTCCTTCTTTTTTTTCTTTCCTCCCTCTTCCTTCCTTTTCTTCCTTCCCTCCCTCCCTTCCCTCCGTCTCTTCCTTTCCTTGATCTCCTTTCTTTCCTTCCTTCCTCCATCCACTTTCTTTCTTTGCTTCCTCCCATGCATCCATCCATTCATCCATCCACTCACTCTTTCCTTCCTTCTTTCCTTTCCTCCCTCTGTCCTTCCTTCCTTTTCTTTCCTTCCCTCCCTCCCTTTCCTGTCTCTTCCTTTTCCTCCATCTCCTTCCTTTCCTTCCCTCCCTCCCTCCCTCCCCTGTCTCTTCCTTTCCTCCATCTCCTCCTTTCCTCCCTCCCTCCCTCCCTCCCCCCTCCTTTCCTTCCTCCCTTCCATCCATCGATCCATCCATCCACTAAGTACAATTGGGGGATTATGACAAATACCTCATCTGAGAGTTGAAAAGGCCCAATGAGGTCATCAAGCCCAATCTCCCGTTCAGGGGTATAATCAAATGGGATCTTATCATGTTGCATGTTGCATGTTGGCTGGGGAATTCTGGGAGTTGAACTCCATGCACATTAAAGATTCCACGGCTGACCAACTCTGATCTAGAATGGCTTTCAAACATCTTGGTGTGCTCCAGAAAAATTAGAATTAAAATCCTCCTTAAATTCTCATCCAGACTTGAGTTGCTGTCACATATGATTGAAGCAGGCTGGATGGCTATGAAGTATTTTCTTCTCACCTGTCTATCTTCCTTGCTACAATCACCGTGAAGCTGCCCTCCGTGTCAGGCAAGTACGTTGATGGGACAACGGCGTAATTTCCTGAAGGCAGCCGACATGTCTGACTTATTTCCTGAGAGTAGCAATGAGGCACACAACTAACAACCGGCTCCAATTGCAGGAAAGCTGTGGAAGCCATTTTCACATGATTGTTGTCACTGGGAACCTGAGGACAAATAACAAAGTCTTCCCTATAATTACATTATTTTATGCTTCGGATATCCACAGCTCTTTTAATTAAATAATTATTTCTTCCCCCGAAAAAAACGGGCCGAAAAAAGCCTTGAAAACAGGCCAGAAAAAGCCTCAAAAACGGGCTGAAAAAAAGGCTCTGAAAAACGGGCCGAAAAAAGGGAGGCCAAAAACTTTTTTGTTGTTGTTGTTTTCCTCTTCTAAATTTAGGTGCGTCTTATAGTCTGAAAAATATGGTAACTCAATGATTCCTGTATTAGGAGCGCCAGCAGCCCTGGCAAAAAGTTTTTCTCTCAAGTCTGTCCGGCAGGAGGATGAATAGTTGTCTGCCACATCTATTCATTTATTTATTTATTTATTGGTTCGATTTATATGCCGCCCTTCTCCGGAGACTCAGGGCGGCTTACAATGCGTCATCTCCGCCTCCTGCCTTTTATCCCCAGAGCTAAGGTGGGGCTTCACTAGTAGCGGTGACTCTTCTGTCCCAAGGACCGGCCCATAGATTTCCACTGCTCTCCTCTCCTCTGCCTTCTGTGCATTCACGCATCAGGCACTGGACCCAGCTGTTCCTCCTCTTCCTCATCAGCCACCTCCAGACCTGGGGGCTGTTGACTCTCTATCCGAGGGCTGACGGACAGCCCAGGCTCCCCCTCTGTCTCTCTCTCTCTCTCTGCCAGCTCCATTCCCTCTCCCCCCTCGCTGACTCTGACTCCCACGCCTCGTCCTCCTCTGATTCGGCTACTGGAAGGGCCAATGGCCAACAGGCCACAACAGAACCTCAATATTACCTGGAAGATATGAAAGCCAATGGGACGGCACTTGTTATCTGGGCAGTGCTGACGGAGAGACACCTTGACGCTTCTCTGGCCAAACCCGGCGGGAACCGACAAAGGGAAGCAGGGATTGGTGTGGAACGAGGGGAAGTTGCGGCTGCCTCCGGCGTTGTGGCCTTTCTTCCACGATCCCTCCAGCTGAGCCGTCTCCCACTCGCCTCCTGGGAACGCTTCGTGGATGGTGTTATCCAGCAAAGGGAGCTTGATCTCACTTGCAAGAGACGGAGGAGATGGGGAGACAGATAGGCAGAGAAGGAACAAAAAAAAAAAAAATTATCTACCATGTGGCTTCTCTTTTTTTTTTTTTTTTATTTGATTTATATGCCGCCCTTCTCCGGAGACTCAGGGCGGCTTACAATGCGCTAAGCAATAGCCTTCATCCTCTTGTATATTTATACAAAGTCAGCTTATTGCCCCCACAAACTGGGTCCTCAATTTACCCACCTTAGAAAGGATGGAAAGCTGAGTCAACCTTGAGCCTGGCGAGATTCGAACCTGCAGTAATTGCAGGCAGCTGGTCTTAATAACAGGGTGCTTTAGACCACTGTACTACCAAGGCTCTCTTGTCTCTCGCTCTGTACTACTACAGTGTCTCTAACACTGTACTACCAAGGCTCTCTTGTCCCTAACTCCCCAACCCTGATGTTTTTTAAAACCCTTTTTTTTTAAATTAAAATTTTAATATAGCTAAGTCCTCGACTTACAACTTTTTGTTTAGTGGCCGTTTAAAAGTTACGACAACGGCGCTGAAAAATATGACTTTTTCACGGTTTCTGGTTTTTCGAAGTATTTCTAGCTGGACTTTTACCAGATTCTGTAACAGGTTTGTTCCCCAGGCCATCCTTCTGGTAAACTCGCAAGATTCGTTTTTCTCGCCATACATCTGAAGCAGACTGTGTTGTCTCTCTGTGTCATTTTTTATTTTTTTTTTAATTTGATTTATATGCCGCCCTTCTCCGGAGACTCAGGGCGGCTTACAATATGTTAAGCAATAGCCTTCATACTTTTGTATATTTATACAAAGTCAGCTTATTGCCCCCACAAACTGGGTCCTCACTTTACCTACCTTAGAAAGGATGGAAAGCTGAGTTGACTTTGAGGCTGGTGAGAATTGAACTCGCAGTAATTGCAGGCAGCTGGATGTTAAATGCTGCCTTAGGAGGCATTAGCCTCCTACGCCACTCAGGCTCAAATATAAATATAAATTCTAAATATATTTAGAATTTAAATAGAGTTGGAAGGGACCTTGGAGGTCTTCTAGTCCAACCCCCTGCCTAGGCAGGAAACCCTACACCACTTCAGACAAATGGTTGTCCAACATCTTCTTAAAAAGCTTCCAGTGATGGAACATTCACAACTTCTGGAGGCAAGTTGTTCCATTGATTAATTGTTCTCACTGTTAGAAAATTTCTCCTTAGTTCTTTTTTATTATTATTTGATAAGCATTTTATTCCCATTTTAAAATAACACATTATATTAAAAAGCTAAAATAAAAACACATCCATTAACATAAGCATCACAAATTTAATCAACCATTTATTGAAATAAATGGGCTTGAACACACTGTACATTACATTCCAATTTTCACAAATCATCCTTTCCCCTGCATATATGTCTTGGTTTCTTAAATCTCTCTTCCAGTGATGTCTAAAACAATAGTTTCATGTGGTTTATAGAATCTTTTAGATGGCAAGGAGGTGATGGGTAGCAGAGAAAAAGAAGAACTGCTTAATTCATTCTTTGCATCTGTCTTTATGCAAAAGGAAGAAATAGTTCATCCTATTAAAAGCAGCACTTTTTATCATATACATCTTGCCAATTTATTCCAACAAAGAAATTGTGTCGCATAATTTCTTTAGCATCATCTGGTCCTCCACCAAGACGTTTATTTGTCTTATTTATTTATTTGTTTGTTTGTTTGTTTGTTTATTGTTTATTTGAAATTTCTCCTTAGTTCTAAGTTGCTTCTCTCCTGGATTAGTTTCCACCCATTGCTTCTTATCCTGCCCTCAGGTGGTTTGGAGAATAGCTTGGCTCCCTTTTCTTTGTGGCAGTTCCTTAGATATCGGAACACTGATGTCATGTCCAATTCCACCCACCCCACCTGGATGAAGGTACCTGAGAGAAATTCTTCCACTGGAGAAAACCCGGAGCAGGAAATTTCCTTCCGTATTATTCAGAAAAGTGCTGGGAACGACCAGGTAGTACCCAGGAGAAAGCTCGCAATGAAGATGGACCTCTCGGTTGAAGGAATGACACGCTGTGCTCGCAACCGGTGGCGCAGAGAGTGTCTTGGGAAGGTTGAATTGTTTCTTCTCAATCTGAAAGACAAGAGAACAGCACGGGGCTGAATGCAGGAAGAAAGTCACAGAGAGGGATCATTTGACCCCAGGACACTGCAACCATCATAAATATGAACCCGTTGCCAAGCGTCTGGATTTTGTTCCATGGGAATGCTGCAACGGTCGCAAGTGTGAAAAATGGTCGTCAGTCCCTTTTTTCCCAGTGTTGTTTTAACTTCGAAACGGTCACTAAACAAATTGTTGTAAGCCAAGGACCGCCCATATGGTGGTTTGATTTTTTTTATATATATATGCTGGTTTTAGCGAGAGACACAATCTAACGGCTCACATTTTGGGATTTTTTTTAAAACTCCCAAAATTAAATATTGTACAAGCTGGCTTCGTTCTGAGTTTGTGAGGATGGCTAGTCAAACCCACAAGCCAAATTCTGCAATTTTATGAGAGACCCCCCCACAAACAACCTCACATTCTTTTTGGTGCTGCTTCCCGTGCCCTTGGGCATTTTATTTTCCCATTAAAAAAATCCATTAAGGGAGAAAAGAGGGACTTGTTGTTCGGCAACATTTCATTCCATGCAAGGAACCGTCTGTTCTGTCCCCGTCCCACACACGCACCCCCACAGACGGCCCGGAGTTAATAAGCCACACGACAAAGTCTTTGAAGATAAAGCTGGCAGCAACCCAGTGGCTAGCTGCCAATTCAGACTTTACTCACACAAAACAAAGATTAGACTGCAAGCATTCCGATAAAGCAGGCAAAGTTTCAGCAATACAAGGATTAGTCCAAATGCAGTCCGACAAGGCAGGCAGAAGTCCAGTAACGCAGAGATCATGGATTATTTCTAGTTTTTGCTCGTCACAAACTGAACCGGCCACCACACCCACATTTATACCCTGTGGGGTGTGGTCCAGTGACTCAGATAATCTCTGGCACGCCTTCCCCTCTGCTGCGCACGCTTCTCCCTGCGCCGCTGTCGAGAATCCAGCCAGCATTTATCTCCTTCGTTGCTGTCCACCTGTGGCTGCGGGGACGTGCTTGGCTCTGGGCCTATCTCTTGGCCTTCGGTGTCCTCCGGAGGCATTGCCAGAGAGGAGGGTTCTGGAGAGGGAGGCCTTGCCAACTCGTCTCCCTCACTCTCAGAGTCTGCATCTGTCGATAGCCCAGGCTCAGGCAACGGAGCCACAACACCGTCCAACTTCCAGCGCCTTCAATTTTGCAAGGCAAACCACAGGTGGGGGAGAAAAGGCAAAATCTGTGGGTGGAGTAAAGCCGTATTTGCCTAGGTCTCTGAAATTACTCCTAGGATTTGCTCCAGGAAAAAGAATAGACAACCCTCTATTATCCATGGGGGAAGCTAGGAAGCAGATAACAGAATACAGGTAGTCCTCGTGTTGTGACCTATTGGCCCCCGCCTCCCCGCCCCCCCAGCAGCTGAATCAGAGGAGGAGGAGGCGTGGGAGTCAGGGTCAGCGAGGGGGAAGAGGGAATGGAGCTGGCAGAGAAAGAGAGACAAAGGTGGAGCCTGGGCCATCCATCAGCCCTCAGAGGGAGAGTCAACAGCCACAGGTCTGGAGGTGGCTGATGAGGAAGAGGAGGAACAGCTGGGTCCAATGCCTGATGCGCAGAAGGCAGAGGAGAGGAGAGCAGTGGAAATCTATGGGCCGGTCCTTGGGACGGAAGAGTCACCGCTGCTAGTGAAGTCCCACCTTAGATTTTGGTTATCACCTTTAGAGCGCTCCATGGCTTAGGACCTGGTTATCTACAGGACCACCTGCTACCACCAATAGCCTCCCACTGACCAGTACGCTCCCATACAGAGGGGCTCCTCTGGGTGCCGTCGGCCAAACAATGTCGAATGGCGGCCCCTAGGGGGAGAACCTTCTCTGTGGGGGCACCTACTATCTGAAGAGGCTCTCCCCGGTGGCACGTGGTCCTGTAGATAACCGGGTCTTAAACCGTGCGCTGATTAGGTGATTTCATCAAGCTGGCCTGACCTAAATCTTTCCCCTTTTTAAATGGAAATTTTAAATTTGTTTTTAAATTATTGGGGTTTTAAATTTGTTCAGCCAAATTATTTAATTCGTTTTATTTTATTTTAAATTTTGTATTTATATGTTTTATTCTATGGCTATTCACCGCCCTGAGTCCTTCGGGAGTAGGGCGGTATATAAATTCAATAAAATAAATAAATAAATAAATAAATTAGCTCTGGGGATAAAAGGCAGGGGATGGAGATGAATAGATGTCACAGACAACTATTCATCTCCCGGCCAGATGGACTTATTAGCCTGTGGTGAGAGAGAAACTTTTTGCCGGGGCTGCCGGCGCCCCTAATTAAAGGAATCGTTGATTAAATACAGAGGGTTTGTCGTGTTTGGGGAGCTGCGTCAGAATACCTTTACTTACAACACTGCATTTAGTGACCACTCAAAGTTACAATAGCCTTGAAAAATGACCATTTTTCACAGGTACAACCTTTGCCGCATCCCGATGAACGTGTGATCAACATTCAGATGTTTGGCAACTGGTTCATACTTACTGACCGCTGATGTGCCCCAAAGTCATGTGATCGCCTTTTATGACTTTCTGACAAGCATAAATCAACGGGGAAGCTGGATTCACATAACAACCGGGCTGCTGACTTAACAACTGCAGTGATTCACTTAACAACTGTGGCAAGAAAGGTCGTAAAATGAGGCAGAACTCACTTGACAAAGGTCTCACAGGTAGTTCTCGACTTACAACCACAATTGAGCCCAGCCCAGAATTTATGTTGCTAAGTGAGACATTTGTTAAGGGAGTTTTGCCCCATTTTACGACTTTTCTTGCCACTTTTGTTAAGTGAATCACTGGCCTTTATTAAATTAGTAACCCAGTTGTTAAGTGAATCGGGCTTCTCCATTGTCTTTGCATGTCAGAACATCGCGAAGGATGATCACGTGATCATCTGAATGTAAATCACATGACCAAGGGGATGCTACAAAGGTCGTAAGTGTGAAAAATAGTCATAAGTCGTTTATAAGCTGTTTTAACTTTGGTCACTAAACGAACTGTTGTAAATCAAGGATTATCTGTACTATCAACTTCAGGAACAGTTATTCAGATGCCAAAGCTCTTAGGACACATCACAAAAATCCTATTCCATTTTCCTCCTCAAACTGCACGAGCTTCGCGTCCCAGCATTCACCTGGATTCATTTCTCTCGGCAATCTTGAGGACTAGAATCTTACTTCCAGGAAAACGGAAAGGACTCCGTCTGCCTGCGCAGCCAGCTCATCTTTCCTACCTTCCATATGTGCAAGCCCACGGCATGGTAATTCTTCCCTCGGACGTTATCCACCAAGGAGGGGTCGGCTTCCGGGAGGCGAGGCCAGGCGCGAATCCTGCCAGCCCAATCGGTGCTGTGCTTCCGGGGCTTCTGTAGGAGGGCAATGCACAGCTCGCTCTGCTCGCAGACTCTCAGCCAGAATTTGGGGTTCGTGGGGAAGGTGCTGTTGTTACGGCAACCCCCCGCAGACTGCCCTCGCACCCAGGACCCATACAGCTTCTGCGTGTGGCTCAGCACTTTGTCTGAATGAGAGGGGAAAAAAAAGATATCATATTTTTTGGAGTATAAGACGCTCTGGACTATAAGACGCACCTACCTTTTTTGAGGAGGAAAACACACACACAAAAATCTGCCTCCGCCTCCCAGCAATTTGCCTCCTTGCAGCAAACAGCAGCCTGTTTCATTTTCATTTTCATTTTAAGCACAGCCTGATTAGCACAAGAAAAAAAAATCTGCCTCCCAGCAATTTGCCTCTTTGCAGCAAACAGCAAACAGCCTGTTTCATTTTCATTTTCATTTTAAGCACAGCTTGATTAGCACAAGAAAAAAAATCTGCCTTCCAGCAATTTGCTTCCTTGCAGCAAACAGTCTGTTTCAGTTTCATTTTCATTTTAAGCACAGCCTGATTAGCACAAGAAAAAAAAATCTGCCTCCCAGCATTTTGCCTCCTTGCAGCAAACAGTCCGTTTTAGCTTCAGCTTCAGCACAGCCTGATTAGCACAAGCAGCTGATTGTCGGTTGGATCAGCCTCCGAAAGATCAACTGTTTCAGGCTGCAGGGATTGCCATAGCCTATTGCCACCTCCGCACACCTCATTTTCCGGGGGGCTGGCAGGTGGGCGAGGCAACATTCAGTATATAAGACGCACCCAAATTTTCATCCTCTTTTGGGGGGTGAGGAAGTGCGTTTTATAATCCGAAAAATACGGTACTCATCACAACTCTCCTGCTACTGGAGGGGAATGAAACTTTTAATATTAATATTCCGAGACATTTCAAGTAACAAAACTTTTCGCAAAGGACTTTCTTTGTCGGCAAAGAGAACTCAGGCAAGCGAGACACAGAAGGCATCTAACGAAAAAGTAATACAGGTTAGTCCTCGAACTTACAACGGTTCATTTAATGACTGTTTAACGTCACTGAATAAAGTGACTTACGGCCGTTTTTCACACTTATGACCGTTCCCCCGCGGTTCACATGATCCAAACTCAAAGACACTTGGCAACTGGCTCGTATTTATGACAGTTGCCATGTCTCGGGGGGGGGGGGGGGGGCACATGATCCCCTTTTACGACCTTCTCACAAGCAAAGTCAGTGAGGAAGCCAGATGCTCTGTACGAGAGTTTTACTCGGTTTACATGTGGAGGGGTTACACTTAAAAACTGGGGCAAAAAAGGTCGTACAAAGGGGGGGGGGAATTCATGTTACTACTGTCTCATTTAGCAACAGAGAACTTCGGCTTGATTGTGGTCGTAAATCGAGTATTACCTATAGCTGAATAGCCAAGCTACAGATAGGCTTTAAAAATGTCTCTTATTAAAAGGAAATCTCCATCTCTCTTGCCTCAGATCTTTGTTTCTGCACATGTGCAGAGTTTAGTGAAGAGAAGGATGATTAGAGAACAGTTGTCTCAGCCTCATTTTTGGATGTTGTTAGGCGGTACCTCCTTTGTTCTCTTCTTCTTAAAACAGGACTGTTGACTTACCACCACAATTGAGCCCAAATCTTCTGTTGCTAAGTTTAGTTTAGTTTAGTTTAGTTTTATTGAATTTTTATACCGCCCTACTCCCGAAGGACTCAGGGCGGTGAACAGCCATAAAATAAAACAATATAAATACAAAATTTAAAATAGAATAAAACGAATTAAATAATTTGGCTGAATTTAAAACCCCAATACTTTAAAACCAAATTTAAAATTTCCATTTAAAAAGGGGAAAGACTTTGGTCAGGCCAGCCTGATGAAACAAGAAAGTCTTGAGCGCGCGACGGAAGGTATGCAGATCCGGGATCCTCCGTATCTCCGGGGGGAGCTCGTTCCAGATAGTAGGTGCCCCCACAGAGAAGGTTCTCCCCCTGGGGGCCGCCAGTCGACATTGTTTGGCTGACGGCACCCGGAGGAGCCCCTCTCTATGGGAGCGTACTGGTCGGTGGGAGGCTATTGGTGGTAGCAGGCGGTCCCGTAAATAGCCAGGTCCTAAGCCATGGAGCGCTCTAAAGGTGATAACCAAAACCTTGAAGCGCACTCGGAAGACCACCGGGAGCCAGTGCAGCTTGCGCAGGAGAGGTGTTACATGGGAGCGCCACGTAGCTCCCATCACCACCCGCACGGCCGCACTCTGTGCCAGTTGGCGCCTCCAAGTGCTCCTCAAGGGGAGCCCCATGTAAAGAGCGTTACAATAGTCCAGACGGGAAGTGACGAGGGCATGAGTGACCATGCGTATGGAGTCCCGATCTAGAAAGGGATGCAACTGGTGGATCAGGCGAACCTGATGAAAAATCCTCCTGGCCACGGCCGTCAAGTGCTCTTCTAAAGACAGCCGTGAATCCAGGAGGACACCCAAGTTGCGAGCCCTTTCCGTGGGGGCCAATGATTCGTCCCCAATAGTCAGCGATGGCTGCAGCTGACTATACCGGGACGTTGGAAACCACAGCCACTCGGTCTTGGATGGGTTGAGCCTGAGCCTGTTTCTCCCCATCCAGATCCGTACGGCCCCCAGGCACCGGGACATCACTTCAAGGGCATCGTTGGGGTGGTCTGGGGTGGAGATGTACAGCTGGGTGTCATCAGCGTACTGATGGTATTCCACCCCAAAACCACGGATGATCTCGCCCAGAGGCTTTACATCAATGTTGAACAAAAGGGGCGAGAGGACCGATCCTTGTGGCACCCCACATATAAGGGGCCTCGGGGTCGACCTCTGCCCCCGTCAACACAGACTGCGACCAGTCGGAGAGAAAGGAGAACCACTGTAGTACGGTGCCTCTCACCCCCAACTCTTCCAACCGGTGCAGCATGATACCATGGTCGATGGTATCAAAAGCCGCTGAGAGGTCTAACAGGACCAGGACAGAGGAGCACCCCCTTCCCGAACCCTCCAGAGATCATCAACCAACGCGACCAATGCCGTTTCCGTGCTGTACCCAGGCCTGAAGCCCGACTGGAACGGATCTAGATATGTGAGACATTTGTTAAGTGAATGTTGCCCCATTGATCAATCTAGAGCAACCAGGATGATGAGGGGACTGGAGGCTAAAACATACAATGAACGGTTGCAGGAACTGGGCATGGCTAGTCTAGTGAAGAGAAGGACCAGGGGAGACAGGATAGCATCTTCCAATATTTGAGGGGCTGCCACAGAAAGGAGGAGGGTCAATCTATTTTCCAAAACACCCGAAAGCTAGAGAAGGAATAATGGATGGGAACTGATCAAGGAGAGATTCAACCTAGAAATAAGGAGAAATTTTCTGACAGTGAGAACAATCAACCCATGGAACCTTCAGAAGTTGCCTTTGGAAGTTGTGGGAGCTTCATCACTGGAGGCTTTCAAGAAGAGACTGGACTGCCATCTGTCAGAAATGGTGTAGGGCCGTGATGGCGAACCTATGGCACGTGTGCCACAGGTGGCACGTGGAGCCATGTCGCCTGGCACGCCAGCTCAGCTCCGGCCAGCTGATTTTCGGGCCTTCTGGGCCCACCAGAAGTAGGGAAACAGGCTGTTTCCTGTCAGCACTTCAACCTGCATTTACTCTAGGGCTGACATAAGAAGGAGAAGAGGGGGCAGCTGGCAAGAGGACGCTTGACATTTCACCTACTTATTTTCCCTGAAGATAATATCCCCTAGGAGATGAGATGGGAGAGGGGACATTCCTGGGAGCTTAAGTAGTAGATATGGGGAGAGTGATTTGGAAGAAGGCCAATGAGACGCAGAGATTTGGGGAACGGAAAGGGAGGGTTTTAGGTCAGGAAGTCAGAGTTGGCCACGGCACGATCGGGGGCAGATTGTCGTGCTTAATAAAATGAAAGATTTCTTCAAAGACTATCTGTTTGGAAATTCAATTTATTTTATTTGAGACGATATCAAAACCTGACACTTCCTGCCTCTGGATGACCTCTGAGGTGGTGGGGAAGGCTGTTTTCGCCCTCCCCAGATGCATAGAGAGGATCTGGAGCCAGGTGAGAAAGAAAAACGGGCCTACCGGGCCATCGCATGCCAGGAGCGGGTGGGGGGGGTCGCACACACATGCGCAGGGCGGGGCATATAGAATTATGGATGTGGGCACATGCACGTGTGAACCCCACCCCCACCCCCTTCCTGGCATGCAATGGCAAAAAGGTTAGCCATCACTGGTGTAGGGTCTCCTGCTTGGGTGGGGGGTTGGACTAGATGACCTACAAGGTCCCTTCCAACTCTTAATCTGTATAATCTGTAATGAGTGACACGGTGGTTAAGTGAATCTGGCTTCCTCATTCAGAAAGTCGCAAAAGGGGATTGCGGGACCCCGGGACACCGCAAGCATCGTCCATTCGGTGGCCGAGCGTCCGAATTTGGATCATGTGACCAAGGCTGTGACGATTGTGAAGTTTTTCACACGGTCACAAGTCACTTTTTTTCAGTGCGGTTGTAACTTTGAAAGGTCACTAAACAAACTGTTGTAGGTCAAGGATTATCTGTACTTGTGTCCCAAAGGTGCTTTTTCAGGAGGCAACTGGACTTTCTTGTTTTTTCTTCGAAGACATTTCGCTTCTCATTCAAGAAGCTTCCTCAGCTCTGACTGGATGGTGGGGAATGGAAGGATTTATACTCCTTGCACACAAAGCTGGTCATTTGCATCCTTTTTAGAGGGTCGTTGAAGGACCTTTGGGACAACCATGACTTAGATGACTTGAGAATCTATACAGACTATCTGTACTTGTATTTAGCAAAAAGGTCTTTTCTTTTAAAAACTTGCTCTTTTCCGGCACCACCTACCAGTGTAAAGGCTCTGAAGCTGTCCTTCTTCTGTGACAGGGTATCCGGTGATGACCTCATCAAATTCCATGAAAAATTCCTCTTCTTCAGCCCAAAAGTCTCCTTCCTGTAGCTGGGATAAAAGTTCAGCGCCCACCACCGGATCCAATTGATTCCATCCTGGCCCTCTGAAGACCAGAAATCACAGTGAATATTAATACGGTTACAAAACATAACTGGTTGTAGCAGCTTACAATACCATAAATATTGTAAAGGTAAAGGTTCCCCTTGCCCATATGTGCTAGTTGTTCCTGACTCTAGGGGGCAGTGCTCATCTCCGTTTCAAAGCCAAAGAGCCAGCGCTGTCCGAAGACATCTCCGTGGTCATGTGGCCGGCATGACTCAATGCCAAAGGCGCATGGAACACTGTTCCCTTCCCACCAAAGGTGGTCCCTGTTTTTCTACTTGCATTTTTTATGTGCTTTTGAACTGCTAGGTTGGCAGAAGCTGGGACAAGTGACAGGAGTTCACCCCGTTACACGGCACTAGGGATTCGAACCAGTGGTGGGTTCCTCCCGGTTCTGCCCGGTTCCGCCGAGCCGGTAGCGGTGACGATATGACGTCACCGAACCGGTTCTGCCCACCCACCCACCCCACGCGTTATTCTGACCTTTTATTTGGCCCCACCCCCAATCTATTGCTGCCTCCTGAGTCCCAGCTGATGAGCTATAAGGAAAATAAACTCTTGCTGCGGGGCTTCAAAGGGCCACCCTACAGCTGATCAGTGGTAAAAGGCAGTTTGGTGGTAGACCAGTGCCTCCAAAAACAAATGAGTAGACCGGTGCCTGCAAAAATAAATGGGTAGACCAGTACCTGCAAAAATACATGAGTAGACCGGTGCCTGCAAAAATAAATGGGTAGACCAGTACAGCTCTGCAAGCAGTTAAAAGCCTGGTAGACCAGTACCTCTGCTAAATCCTAAAGAATTGTCACATGACCATCAAGCCATGCCCACAAAATAAGCCACGCCCACAGAACCAGTAGTAAAAAATTTTAGAACCCACCCCGATTCGAACCACTGAACTGCCGACTTTTTGATTGACAAGCTCAGCGTCTTAGCCACTGAGCTGCCGCATCCCTTTTAATCAAAATGGCATGCATATAGGGGAGGGAACTTAGGGATTTTGGCACGCGATTCTCAGTTCTGGCTATGCTTGATCGCAATACACTTGACTTCTAATAAAACTATTCCTTTCCCAACAAATGGAGCAGAGGTGAAATGCAGCCGGCAGCGATGGCGGCGGGTGGTTTGGAGAACTGGTAGCAAAAATCCCCGCCTCCCTGCCCATGCTCAGCTGAGCTGCGCGATCATCAGAGGCTTTTTTTTTTACTTTTAAAAGCATTTTTTCTACAACCTCTTTGGCCAGAGAGGTTATAAAAAAATGCTTTTAAAAGAAAAAAAAAAAGCCTCTGACGATCAGGCAACTCAGCTGGGATCGTCAGAGCCTTTTAAAAGCATTTTTTTCTACAACCTCTTGTAGAAAAAATGCTTTTAAAAGGTTAAAAAAAAAGCCTCTGACGATCACAGCTGAGCAGCACGATCGTCAGAGGCTTTTTAAAAATTTTTTTAAAGCAATGCTTTTAAAAGTAAAAAAAAAAAAGATTGCGCGCCACAGCTGATCAACCCCCCTCGCGCGCTGTTCTACTTACCGTTTGCCTCCTTTTGGCGTGCACTGTGTGCACGTACCTCGCATTTGGTTCGTGGTGCGCACTGCACATGCGTAGCCAGCAAACCGGTAGTAAACCGGTTCAGATTTCACCACTGGAATGTATCATTTTTACTTAGAGGTTTAAGTAATGGTGGATCTGACAGAAAAACTACTGTAGATGCTGGTGTCAACATATGGCCTACTCACCCTTCCCTCCAGGGGCCTTTCCAGCAGCGTCTCCCCCAGGGATTCCGGATCCGCAGCAGGATTGTCTCTTTCCTGGATACCTTGGAAAGATCCTGCATGTCAACCACAATGAAGGCGTGGAACTCTCCCAGCTGGCTGGTCCCTGGAGTGCAGAAAAGAGATAACGTGGTAGCCACTATAAAAGCTTAAATCCCAGCGGCTCCTGGGAAGCTTGTTCTGCCCCAGCTACGGACCCCAAAGAACGCAGCACACACAAAGTCCGTTCAAACCTTAATTTACTGAATAAGCCAGTCTTTTACAACCACAGCTGTTAATTAATTGCATTAACAGCCGCCAAAAATTCAAAGAATAACAACTGAAAACTTACTATGGTTGACAGAATGCCCAGAAGCAATTTGCAGGAAGCTGATAAGATAAGCAAGACAAGACACGAAGGTATGTGAACAAAGTTGTTCCCTGCAAATTGCTTCAGTCGGTGTTCCTCCTTAAATAGGCTAAGGGAGTGAGTGGCCAATTAGTCCCTTGCCTTACTCTCAAGGAGACGTCCTCCTGAGGAGCCACTCCTGCCTTTTGGCAGCTCTGCGCGCCAGTGCATCGAGAAGAGGCTCCTCCTCTTCGTCCTCTTCACTTATGGGAGCTTCTGGAGGTTCTGAAGGCCCTGGCTGAATCCCCACCTCTGGCACCACATCTTCTCCAGCCTCCTCATTGTCCGACTCGAGTGCCAGCTGCACAGGCTAATGGCGCAGCACCACACCAGCCTCCTCGCTGTCGGAATCAGCTACTAGCTGCACAGGCCGCATAAGGGCAACAACAGCAGTTGGTTTATTTCAGGAGCACAGAATATGACCCTGAAAGTTCGGGATCCAAAAATTAGAGATTTTTACAGAAAAAATGGTCCTTCCTGGGGCACGGAGTTTGAATGTTTTTCTATGATGTTTATCCTGTGGTTGTGTGGTTCCCTTGGGAGACAGTTTTAATTAGCCTTCTGTTTACAGACTTTCTTCTTTGACGTCTGGATTAAGTCTGGGTAATTTATTTGCGGGTTTCGAGGAAGTCTGGGTAAAAGATTATTACAGGTAGTCCTCGACCTACGACCACAATTGAGCCCAATATTTCTCTTGCTAAGCAAAACAGTTCTTAAGTGAATTTTGCCCCGTTTCACGACCTTTCTTGCCACAATTGTGAAGTGAATCACTGTATTATTAAATGAAGGACATGGTTGATAATTGAATCTGGCTCCCCCATCGACTCTGCATGTCAGAAGGTCTCAAAAGGAGATCACCTGACCCCGGGACACTTCAACCGTCATAAATATGAGTCAGTTGTCAAGCATCTGAATTTGGATCACCTGACCATGGGGAAGCTGCAACAGTCGTAAGTGTGAAAAACAGTCATAAGTGTGAAAAATGGTCATAAGTCACTTTTTGCAGTGCCATTGTAACTTCGAATGGTCACTAAACGAACGGTGGTAAGTGAAGGACTGCCTTTAAATTGTTTCTAGTCTCCGTCAACGATGGTTTCCGTTAACAGTGAAGGGAAGTTGGAGACAGTATAAGACAGGGGTGTCAAACTCAAGGCCTGTGGGCCACATTCAGCCCACAATGTGGTTGGATCCGGCCCATGGGGCTGTCCTGGAAAATGTAAGGGGCCGACCCGCATTGCTTCGGCCCAGTCTACCCGCGTCGTTTCTCCCAATCTATCTACGTCGCTTCGGCCCAGTCCAGGGGTGGGTTCTACTGTTGTGGCTCCAATCCCCGAGCCCATCTTATCGGAGGAAGAAGGCTCCGAACATGAAGGAGAGGAGCCGGCCAGGCCTCCCTCTCCAGGCCCCTCCTCTCTGGCAATGCCTCAGGTGTCTGCCGAGGGAGAGGAGATTGACCAGGAGCCAGGTGTCTCCGATGACAGCGATGCGGGTGATAAGTCGTTCCTGGATCCACGCCAACGAAGGCGAGATAAATGTTTGCAGCAGATGAGGAGGCGTGCCAGGGATTAAGCTGAGTCACTGGACCACACCCCACAGGCTATATAAGAGAGTGTGGTGGCCATTTAGACTCTGTGACGGACAAAGCTAACTTCTGGCTAGTCACTTTGGACAACGCCTGATCTGCTGAAGGTTTCATGTTTGAGCTGGACTGTTTTGAAAACTGTGTGTATTAGTTGGTGTTATCTGGTGGAGGAACACTCCCTCTTCTTGTAGTAAAGCACTTGGCAGACGGTTATCGTATTGCTGCCAAGTTCCTGATAACGAACCTTGTGTGTGCCGAGTACTTCTTTAACCCCCGGCTGGCTGTTTGTGTGTGTGTGGGGACGGGGACAGAACATCTACTTACCTTTACTACCACTTCACAACGCCTATGACAACATCCGGGGTGGTGAGCGGAGCCTCCCGCTGGTTTTACTACCGGTTCTTGCGAACCGGTCTGAACCGGGGGGGCAACCTACCACTGGCCCAGTCTACCCAATGCAAAGAGGAAACATGCCATCAGTTTTGGGAGTGGTGTCAAGCTGGCCACGCCCACCCAGTCAGCCACACCCACCCAGTCACCCACGCGCAGTGAGTGGCGTCAATCAGGCCACGCCCACCCAGTCGGCCGTGCCCGCCCAGGCCTCTCAAGGTCAACCATAGTCCTGATGCGGCCCTCAGTGAAATTGAATTTGACACCCCTGGTATAAGGGATGAAAGATATTTCGATATGAAACTTTCCACAGGGCTAACAATGAGACCGAAGAGGTCTGTAAAATTCTCTGCTTCCCCTACCTTGCCGTGAACTGAAGACGGAACAGCTCATGACACATTTCTCCTTCAGGTTCATCAACCGTCTGAACACCGTTTTCTCCAAGACTTTGCCGGCCCGCTCTCGTTCAGGATTTTGGCTCAGGTCTTTCAGCGACCACCGTTCCGCAAGGCCTCCGGTCAGATCAACTAGGGCATCGGCTACCTGGCCTGCCCAGAGTTGCTCGTAAGATCCGTGAACCCTGAAAGGAGAAAAAGATCCAAACACAGCTAGTCCTCAACGTACGACCACAATTGAGCCCAACATGTATGTTGTTAAGCGAGGAATTTGTTAAGTGAGTTTGGTCCGTTTTACGACTTTTCCTCGCCACGTGGGTTAACTGAATCAATGCCGTTATTAAATTAGGAATGCGGTTGTTAAGTGAATCGGGCTTCCCCGTTGACTTTCCTCTTCAGAAGGTCGCAAAAGGGGATCACGTGACTCCGGGACACTGCAACCGTCATAAATGTGAGTCGGTTGTCAAGCATCCGACTGTAAATCACGTGACCACGGGGACGCTGCAACGCTAATAAGTGGTCATAAGTCAGCTTTTTTCAGGGCCGTTGTAACTTTGAATGGTCAATAAATGAACTGTTGTAAATCAAGGACTACCTGTTATCTGTAGGATTACATAGTTGTCATGGTAAGCGGGGATGACCTTGGGAGACAAGGGACAAAGAGTGCAACCAAGGGAAAAAATCCGATAGCAACAGCACTTGGACTTATATACTGCTTCACACAGTGGTGAAATCCAAATTTTTTTACTACCGGTTCAGTGGGAGTGGCTTGATGGGCATGGTGTGGCTTGGTGGGCGTGGCAGGGGAAGGATACCGCAAAATCTCCATTCCCACCCCACTCCTGGGAGAAGGATATTGCAAAATCCCCATTCCCACCCCACTCTGGGGCCAGCCAGAGGTGGTATTTGCCGGTTCTCCCAACTACTCAAAGTTTCCGCTACCGGTTCTCCCAACTGCTCAAAATTTCTGCTACCGGTTCTCCAAACTGCTCAAAATTTCTGCTACCGGTTCTCTGAACTGCTCAAAATTTCCGTTACTGGTTCTCCCAACTACTCAAAATTTCCATTACTGGTTCTCCCAACTACTCAAAATTTCCATTACTGGTTCTCCCAACTACTCAAAATTTCCGCTAAAGGTTCTTCAAACTGCTCAAAATTTCCACTACTGGTTCTCCAGAACCTGTCAGAACCTGCTCGATTTCACCCCTGGCTTCATAGTACGTTACAGTCCTCTCTAAGTGGTTTACAGAGTCAACCTATTGCCCCCAACAATCTGGGTCTTAATTTTACCGACCTCGAAAAGATGGAAGTCAACCGGTCAGAATTGAACTGCTGGCAGTGGGCAGAGTTTGCTTGCCATACTACATTCTAACCACTGTGCCACCCACAGCTCTACTACTATTAATCAAACATTCGTAAAGACTGGAAGTTTTTATTTCAAAGTCAGCCTACTGCCCCCAACAATCTGGGTTTTTATTTTATTGATCTGGGAATGATGGAAAGCTGAGTCAACCTTGAGCCGGTCAGGATCGAACTCCTGGAAGTGGGCAGAGAGTTAACTTGCAATACTGGATTCTAACCACTGTGCGGCCAAGCCTCTCGGATAAGAAGCCTTGATAGTACAGGGGTTTAGTGCACCCTGTAATTAACACAGCTGCCTGCAATTTCTACTGGTTCGAATCTCTCCAAGGCTCAAGGTTGACTCAGCCTTCCATCCTTTCTAAGGTAGGTGAAATGAGGACCCAGATTGTGGGGGCAATAAGCTGACTTTGTATAAAATATACAAAAGCATGAAGGCTATTGCTTAACGCATTGTAAGCCGCCCTGAGTCTCCGGAGAAGGGCGGCATATAAATCAAATTAAAAAAAAAAAAAAAAAGAAGCAATTTATCCCAGAGCCGGAATGTGGACAAGTCAAGCAGCTCAAAAGCGACCCTAACCATCTATTTTCTTGGGCTGTACAGGCAGTCCTCGACTTACGACCACAATTGATCCCAAAATTCCTATCGCTAACTGAGAGATTTGTTTTTGTCCCATTTTATGACCTTTCTTGACACAACTGTTAAGTGAACACTGCAGTTGTTAAGTTAGTAACACGGTTGTGAAGTGAATCGGCCTTCCTCGTTGACTTTGCTTTGTCCGAAGGTCACAAAATGGGATCACCATGATCCCCGGGACACTGCAACCGTCATAAAAAGGTCACTTATGGCCAGCTTCTATCAAACTAGGTCAATGGGGAAGGCAGATTCACTTAACAACCTAACAACCTCAGCGATTCACTGAACCAAGTATGGCAAGAAAAGTCGTAAAATGGGGTGAAACTAAAAGCAACGGAAAATTCGGGGTTTGCGATGGTCGTAAGTCGAGGACCACCTGTAACCAGAGTGACCACGCCCATCACATACTTGGCATAAGCTTTCTCCAGCAGGGGAAGCCAAAACACGTCTTCCGTCTGGCACTGGGAGAAACAGAGCTTGCCCCCCAGACAAGGCAGCCGATCATCGATGGTCACCTCCACCCAGTGGCCAAACTGCCAGATACGACAAGTGAAGCAGCCACGGTATTTCTCATCCTTCCAGCTGGGCTGACCTGGAGGTATCACCTGTGATAAGAGAAGAATCGCTCAATGGTACGAATGCGATTGGTTGAAACAGCTGTCAGTTTCCTAGACTTGAGTACTTAAAGCCCTCCCACCCAACCTTTCCGAATATCTCAAGTCCAGCGATCAGCAACCTGCAGCTCTGGAGCCGCATGTGGCTCTTTCACCCCTCTGCTGCGGCTCCCTGTCACTCAAAATATGCGTCACAACCGCCAATGTGCGACCACCCGCCTGCACGCGATTTATTGAGCTTTTCAACTCCCGGTAGGCCAACCACGGATAAATCCAAGAAAAGAAAAGTTTCAGAAGAAAACAGAACGTTTAATTCAACTACATATGCCAGTTTTGTGGCCGCTCAAGAAACAGTCAGGCACAGGAAGGGTTTTGTGGCACCCGGTGTTTTCTTTTCTGTGGAAAACGGGTCCAAATGGCTCTTTGAGTGTTTAAGGTTCTAGTCCCTAGGGAGGCAAAGGGTATTTGAAAAGGCACATAGATAGGTTTTTCACAAGGGTGGAAAAATGAGGAGATTCCCTACAGATGAAAGTGTAATTAAAAAAAAAAAAATCAGAATGTGCAGAGATGGATAGATTAACACTCAGCATAAAGGAGAAGGAAGAAACAGAATATTTTTAAACATGGGACTCGTTTTACCAAAGGTTACTTAACAGAAACAGAAGTTAGAAACTTAAACGTTTAAGAGAATGATTAACTATACAATGAAGGTTTATTAGTATGGATGGATAAGCAAATGCTATTATTATTATTATGTGATTATTATCAATGCTATGAATATTATTGTTATTATTCATACACACTTTTGCTTAATTTGAATAATTTCATTTAACCGGAGATTCCTGAACCATGAGACTTTGGGTGCAGCAGGGATGCAAATGTTAGTATAGTTAAACAAAATCGAATGGAGCCAATAGGTTTCGCTCAGAAATCTCTTACTCCTGGGGGGCCTGCACCCCAGATGGCAGGAGGGTCTTTACCTTGGTGAGCAGGTATTTATTTTTCTGCAAAGCAGCGCAGGCGCAGAGAAACCAGCAATCTCCCAGCATGCCTTGCTTGACCTGCCATTCATGTTGACTGTCTGAAAATAATCGAGGCGAAGAGCAGATCTCCTGATGGGGAAGACAAAAGAGAATTTAGAGAGGAAACATGCTATGTTTGCAATATTTTTCCTTTTTTTTCCTTCCTTCCTTCCTTCTTCCCCTTGCTTCTCTCCCTCCCTCTCCTTCCTTTCCTTCCTCTCTCTTTTCCTCCTTCCCTCGCTCCTTCTCTCTCCATTCCTTCTTCCTTTCCTTCCTTCTCTCCCTCTCTCCTTTTTCTTTCCTTCCTCCCACTTGTTCCTTAATCCCTCTTTCCCTCTCCATTCCTTGCCTTCCTTCTTCTCCTTGCTTCTCTCCCTCCTTCTCCTTCCTTTCTTCCTTCCTCCCTCTCCTTCCTTCTCTCTATTCCTTTCCTTCCTTCTCTCCCTTCTTCCTTTCCTTTCTTCCTCTCCTTCTTTTTCTTTCCTTCCTCCCACTTGTTCCTTAATCCCTCTTTCCCTCCCTCCCTCCATTCCTTGCCTTCCTTCTTCTCCTTGCTTCTCTCCCTCCTTCTCCTTCCTTTCTTCTTTCCTTCCTCCCTCTCCTTCCTCCTCTCTCTATTCCTTCTTCCTTTCCTTCCTTCTCTCCTCCCTCTTCCTTTCCTTTCTTTTCTCCCTCTCTCCTTCCTTTTCTCTCTCCTTCTTTCCTTCCTCCCTCTTGTTCCTCCGTCTCTTTCCCTTCCTCCCTTCGTAAATGTATATGCCGCCTGACTGCCAGCAACTCTAATTCTAGACAGCTATTATTGGTGCAAAGAAAGATTTGTTGTTATTGTATTATTGCACTGCACTGGCTTCTACCTACACTATTTTATTTATTTTATTTTATTTCGAATTTATATATCGCACCTTCTCCCGAGGGACTCAGGGCGGTGTACAGCCAGATAAAAAACATACAATACAAACATTAAAAACAATTAAAAAGATATATATTAATTTGGCCCCAAATTAATAAAAACTATTGTTTTTATATACAGAGTTTCCCTGAAAATAAGACCCTGTTTTATATTTTTTTGAACCCTGAAATAAGCATTTGGCCTTATCGCCATGCGCTCAAAAGCCCAATTGGGCTTATTATCAGGGGAGGTCTTATTTTGGGAGAAACAGGGTACCGCTCTCAATGTCTCTTTAAAATGAGGCAGTCCATTTTTATAAATAAATGAAATAACAATTAAACTCACTTCTCATGACTGCATTCTCAGAGTATTTTCCTCATATAATGTGGGTGTTTTTTTAAAAAGCTGGCCAAGAGGTGAAGATGTGAACAAAGTTTGAACTATTAAACTATTAAACAAGAAATCAGCCCGGTCAAAGCAGGACAGTGGGAACCAAGATCGATCTAGCATTCCAGCTGGAAAGAAAGTTGTTTGTACATGTGTACAGTGGAGTTGGGGAATTTCCTGAGCCGGAAATTCTAGGAAGTTTGAATTCCGGTAAATAGTAAGGTTATCACCATGTTTAATCAAAGGCACTTAAAATTTCCCCTGAACGTTTTGTGCCATACAGGCAGTCCTCGCTTTACAATAGTTCATTCAGAGACCGTTCGAAGTGAAAACGGCACTGAAAAAAGTGACTTATGACCAGTGGTAGGTTTCAAATAATTTCACCACTGGTTCGGGGTGGGGTGGGGCGGGCGGGGCCAGCCAACGTCCTGATTTGCTGGTTCTCCGAACTACTCAAAATTTCTGCTACTGTTGTGGCTCGTACGCCGCCTGTGCAGCTAGTAGCTGATTCCGACAGCGAGGAGGCTGGTGTGGTGCTGCGCCAGCAGCTTGTGCAGCTGGCACTCGAGTCGGACAATGAGGAGGCTGGAGAAGATGTGGTGCCAGAGGCAGGGATTCAGCCACGACCTTCAGAACCTCCAGAAGCTCCCATAAGTGAAGAGGACGAAGAGGAGGAGCCTCTTCTCGATGCACGGGGGCGCAGAGCTGCCAAAAGGCAAGAGTGGCTCTTCAGGAGGAGGTCTCCTCGAGAATAAGGCTTGGGGCTAATTGGCCACTCCCTTAGCCTATTTAAGGAGGAACGCCGACTGAAGCAATTTGCAGGGAACAACTCCGTTCACATACCTTTGTGTCTTGTCTTGCTTATCTTATCAGCTTCCTGCAAATTGCTTCTGGGCATTCTGCCAACCATAGTAAGCTTTCAGTTATTATTCTTTGAATTCTTGGCAGCTGTTAATGCAATTAATTAACAGCCGTTGTTGTAAAAGACTGGTTTATTCAGTAAACTAAGGTTTGAACGGACTTAGTGTGTGCTGCGTTCTTTGGGGTCCGTAGCTGGGGCAGAATAGCTACTGGTTCGTACAAACCGCTCCAAACCAGCTGAATACCACCTCGCTTTATGACCATTTTTCACACTTATGACCGTTGCTGCACCCCCATATTCACATGATCAAAATCCCAACACTTGGCAACTGACTCATATTTAGGAAGGTTGCAAGATCCCGGTATTATGTGATCCCCAATTTGCGACCTTCTGACAAGTAATTTCAACGGGGAAGCCAGATTCACTTAACAACCATGTGGCTAACTGAACAACTCCAGTGATTCCCTTAACAACGGTGGGAGGAAAGGTCGTAAAATGGGGCAAAGTTCACTTAACCACTCTCTCGCTTACAAACAGAAACCTTGGATTCAATTGCGGTCCTAAATCGAGGATTACCTGTATATGGGAAGATCTTTGCCGGCATGAATTTCATTTCTGTTTTCTAAAATATGGACAGTTCTTTCAGGCAGTTGTCCAGATAGGAAAGTGCTAGAGTTTTACCCACCGTGGATTTTCAAAAACAAACCTGAGGTCTCAGCCAGTAAATATCTCCTTTGAACTGGGCCAACGGAGTAGAACAGTTGAAAAACAGAGAACCGTCGCTAGCCGGAAACGCGAGGTCTTTGTAAAGGTCTTCCTTCGGATCTGCCAGGACCCCGACGCCCAGCATCTTTTACAAATCTGCAAGGACCTGCAGCCCCTTCAGAGGCAACTGAGGACCCGATTTAAATCTGCAAAACAATGTTTAGGAGGCCAGGAGAGAGAGAGAGAAATTGCTTTAAAATGGTGTTTTAAGAAAGTAGCAGTGGTGGGATTCAGCCGGTTCGGGCGAATCGGTAGTTAAATTGTTGGCTGGCTCCGCCCCGCCCCTCCTCTCCCTGCCCCTTCCAGGAGTCTCCACACGCCCCTTTTTTTTTTTGCTTTAAATTATATGCCGCCCTTCTCCGGAGACTCAGGGCGGCTTACAATGTGTTAAGCCTTGGTAGTACAGTGGTTTAAAGCACCCTGTTATTAACACAGCTGCCTGCAATTACGGCAGGTTCGAATCTTACCAGGCTCAAGGTTGACTCAGCCTTCTATCCTTTTTAAGGTAGGTTAAATGAGGACCCAGTTTGTGGGGGCAATAAGCTGACTTTGTATAAATATACAAAAGGATGAAGGCTATTGCTGAGCACATTGTAAGCCGCCCTGAGTCTCCAGAGAAGGGCGGCATATAAATCAATTTTTTTTTAAAAAAAAGCAATAGCCTTCATCCTTTTGTATATTTATACAAAGTCAGCTTATTGCCCCCACAATGTGGGTCCACATTTTACCTACCTTTGAAAGGATGGAAGGCTGAGTCAACCTTGAGCCTGGTGAGATTTGAACTTGCAGCAATTGCAAGCAGCAAATGTTAATAACAGTGCTTTAGTCCACTGTACTATCAGGCTCCTTTATGGCTCCCAGGGAAGTGCAGGGAGGCCTACAAGGCCCAAAATGGGGTGCTGTGGGGAGGGGGGGCAGCATGGCCTCCCCACGGCCTGTTTTCACTCCCGGGGGGGGGTGCAGGAGGCTGAGTGCTGCCTATCATACCCCCTGGCCACGCCCACCATGGCCACGCCCACCCAGCCGGTCATTAGGGCAGAGAACTGATTGTTAAATTCTCCCACCACTGGAAAGTAGGCTTGTTTTTGAACAAGCCGACATAGAAATAAATAGTCTTGATGAGAACCTGCAGTTATCTTTCATTTTTCTTCTTCTCTACATATTTAAAATGTGCTGGGTTGTTTTTTTTTTAAAACTGAGCATAGCATAGGATAAAATTATAAAGGAAGATCAATCAAGAGCAAAACAAAAAGAAAAAACAAAGAAACAATAAAGGAGAAAAAAAAGTCTACAGATGCAATTTACAAAGAGAATGCCAACTTTGAAATATCCATACTTAGGACCATTAATATTTAAGGAACAATATCGTTAATGCAACCACTCAAAGAATTAACCTGCACAACCTGCACAATTCCACACACCGCAAGGCAGGGTGGATAAAAATCAATGATTTTTTTAAAAAAAATCAAAAAAATCGGATTTTTTTAAAATTTAAATCGGATTTTTTTATTTAAATCAGATTTTTTTGATTTTTATCGAATTTATTTTAATAAAAAACTTTTGGGGTAAAAATCTATCGTAAGATAGTTTTCTATTTAAGAGACATAAATAATTTAGTTTATTCAGCATGAAACGGAGCTTAGTTATGTGGCATGAGGCTGTATATTCTGCAACACTGGGACTATCGGTGAGTCAACAGTGGGTCAAAGGAGTAGCAGAGATGACAGTTGCTCTTTAAAAATTATGATTTAAATCGAGTTGATTTAAATCAAGCCTTTTTACTAGTGATTTAAATCATGATTTAAATCATGATTTAAATCGACTCGATTTAAATCAAATCCACCCTGCCGCAAGGCGAAGTCTATCAGTGATTTGTGAGCCTTGCTTCAAAAATCAATGTTACTCAAACTTAGCAAGTCTGTGTCAACCAACAATGGAGGGTTCTGGGAATTGAAGTCCACCCATCTTTAAAGTGGCCAAGTTTGCATTAAATTGACTTGCCAGGTTCAAGGCACTTTGTCCCAGCCTAAAGTAGAAACAAACTAGAATGTGAACTTCCCAGAATGATATTATTGATTCATTCAATTTACTTGCGGCCCATTTCATTTCAAAGCGACTTCAAGGATATGGCCGGTTGGTTTGTTACAAATAGAAATTTGGTCTACTTTACCAAAACCGTTTTAGCAATAGAGGTAGTCCTCGACTTGCAACAGTTCATTTAGCGACCATTCAAAGTTAGAACGGTACCGAAAAAAATAATTTATAACCGGTTTTCACATTTAACAACCATTGCAGCATCCACTTGGTCGCGTGATCAAAATTCAGACGCTTGGCAACTGACTCATATTTATGACGGTTGCGGTGACTGGGGTCACGCGATCCCTTTTGCGAGCTTCTGACAAGCACAGTCCATGGGGAAGCCAGATCCACTTAATAACCGGGTTACTAACTTAACAACTGCAGCGATTCACTTAACAAGAGAAAAGTCGTACCATGGGGCAAAACTCACTTCACAACCGTCTCGCTTAGCAACAGAAATGTTGGGCTCAATTTTGGTCGTACGTCGAGGACTACTTGTATTTAAAAATATTATATGTATATGAAATCTTATTCTGTTCACCGCCCTGAGTCTTTCGGGAGAAGGGCGGTATAGAAATTCAATAAATAAATAAATAAATAAGGGGGTAAACTATGATCTTGACATTCCCTTTAAAACTGCAAATGTATTTGATGTCCTAATTTAGGTTGAGCCGTATGCTTTTTCGTTTCTAAAGATTACACTGATTTAACTGCGTCTTCTGAGACATACGGATGAGCTGATTTGCTTACCATGTTGGTCTTCTTTTTTCATCAGCTGTAGTTGCTAAATTCTCCCGTCACCCCAGCTACATTCCGATTAATCGACAAATAGAGCAGATAGACAAGGCTGCAGGTAAAACACAATTCATAACCAATCAAAATCAGAGAGGGAGGGACAGGGAGGGAGAGAGGAAGAGAGAGAGGGAGAAGAAGTGGAAGGAGGAGGAGGAGAGAGGAGGAGGAGGAGGAGGAGGAGGAGGAGGAGGAGAAGGAGAAGGAGAAGGAGAAGAAGAAGAAGAAGAAGAAGAAGAAGAAGAAGAAGAAGAAGAAGAAGAATGCAGACATTTCATTACTCAACTAGGTAACATCATCAGTGCTAGAAGGGAATGGGGTTTGTGGAGAGAGGAGGAGGAGGAGGAGGAGGAGGAGGAGGAGGAGAAGGAGAAGAAGAAGAAGAAGAAGAAGAAGAAGAAGAAGAAGAGAAGAAGAAGAAGAAGAAGAAGAAGAAGAAGAAGAAGAAGAAGAATGCAGACATTTCATTACCCAACTAGGTAACATCATCAGTGCTAGAAGGGAATGGGGTTTGTGGAGAGGAGGAGGAGGAGGAGGAGAGGAGGAGGAGGAGGAGGAGGAGGAGAAGGAGAAGGAGAAGGAGAAGAAGAAGAAGAAGAAGAAGAAGAAGAAGAAGAAGAAGAAGAAGAAGAAAAGAAGAAGAAGAAGAAGAAGAAGAATGCAGACATTTCATTACCCAACTAGGTAACATCATCAGTGCTAGAAGGAATGAGGTTTGTGGAGAGGAGGAGGAGGAGGAGGAGGAGGAGGAGGAGGAGGAGGAGGAGAAGAAGAGAAGAAGAAGAAGAAGAAGAAGAAGAAGAAGAAGAAGAAGAAGAAGAAGAAGAAGAAGAAGAAGAAGAAGAAGAAGAAGAATGCAGACATTTCATTACCCAACTAGGTAACATCATCAGTGCTAGAAGGGAATGGGGTTTGTGGAGAGGAGGAGGAGGAGGAGGAGGAGGAGGAGGAGGAGGAGAAGGAGAAGGAGAAGGAGAAGGAGAAGGAGAAGAGAAGAAGAAGAAGAAGAAGAAGAAGAAGAAGAAGAAGAAGAAGAAGAAGAAGAAGAAGAAGAAGAAGAAGAAGAAGAAGAAGAAGAAGAAGAGGAGGAGGAGAGATATTTAGGTTTTGGCTGGAAATACTCATTGGAGAAATGGTAGGGCTTCTCAAAGACTTTGATGGAAATGGCACAGGTGCCTGACCAAATCATCATCATCATGATGATCATCATCATCCTTTTCATGTTCTCCCAATGTGGCTCCTAGATATTTAAGAGACCTAGCTCAACCCCCGATTGTGGGAATGCAGCTGGATGCAAGGGTGAAATCCAGCAGGTTCTGGAGAACCGGTAGCGGAAATTTTGAGCAGTTCGGAGAACCGGCAAATACCACTGCTGGCTGGCCCCAGAGTGGGGTGGGAATGGGGATTTTGCAGTATCCTTCCCCCAGGAGTGGGGAGAGAATGGGGATTTTGCAGTATCCTTCCCCCAGGAGTGTGGTGGGAATGGGGATTTTGCAGTATCCTTCCCCAGGAGTGGGGAGAGAATGGGGATTTTGCAGTATCTTTCATTTATTGGATTTGGATTTATATACCGCCCTACTCCCGAAGGACTCCCACTCCCGAAGGAGTGGGGAGGGAATGGGGATTTTGCAGTATCCTTTCCCCAGGAGTGGAGAGGGAATGAAGATTTTGCAATATCCTTCCCCCAAGGAGCAGGGAGGGAATGGGGATTTTGCAGTATCCTCCCCCAGGAGTGGGCAGGGAATGGGGATTTTGCAATATCCTTCCTCCAGGGAGTGGGGAGGGAATGGGGATTTTGCAGTATCCTTCCCCCAAGGAGCGGGGAGGGAATGGGGATTTTGCAGTATCCTTCCCCCAGGAGCGGGGAGGGAATGGGGATTTTGCAGTATCCTTCCCCCAGGAGCGGGGAGGGAATGGAGATTTTGCAATTATCCTTCCCCCAGGAGCGGGGAGGGAATGGGGATTTTGCAATATCCTTCCCCCAGGAGCGGGGAGGGAATGGGGATTTTGCAATATCCTTCCCCTGCCACCCCCACAGAACCGGTAGTAAAAAAAAAAAATTAAGATTTCACCACTGGCTGGCTGGATCCCACCCTTCCATTGGGATAGACTGCTCCTAGGCAAGGAGGCTCTCTTAGGGACGGCGCATCTTCCCCGGCTTCTGAAGCCCCTGGTTGCATCTCTTTCGACCCCCTCCCTCCCTCCCCCCCCCGTAACCCTTCTTTCTCCCTCCTCTCCGGCTCCACCGGCAGACAAAGCTCGCCCCCTCCCCACAACCCACGCCCACCTTTCCCCAAAATCTCGGCAGAGGGGGGAGGGGGTCCCCTCTCTCTCCAGACGGACCCAAAGACGGCCCGATCCGCACCAGCCCCGCGGCCAAGCCCTGGATGCAGCCGCCGATCTCCAACGCCGGACGCGCATCTGTCCAAGGCACCACCTTGGGCGGCTAGGAAACTACCGTTCCCAGCATGCAGCGGGAAGGGAGGAGCCGCCCCGGATCCCCCAGCATCCTTTGCCCGAAGGAGAAGAACTACGTCTCCCGGCAGCCCCTTGGAAGCCCGCCCGCCTCGTTCTTTGAATAGGCTGGCAGGCTGGCTGGCTTGCTTTGTCCAGGGTTTTTTTTTTTTTAACTCGGGCGTAGTGCGCAGGCGCAGACGGTGCCGGTGTGTGTCAATAGCGTTCACTGCTGCTTCTGGGCTGAACGTGGCCTGGTCCCAGCAGCTGCCCACTCACCCTGAAGTGGGGGGGGGGAAATAAGCTCCCCAAAAGGAGTTCCCCACAATTTAATAGGCCAGGGGTCTCCAACCTTGGCCACTTTAAGACTTGGGGACTTCAACTCCCAGAATTCCTCAGCCAGCAAAGTTTTGCAGGCTGAGGAATTCTGGGAGTCGAAGTCCACAAGCCTTAAAGCTTTGCTGGCTGAGGAATTCTGGGAGTCGAAGTCCACAAGCCTTAAAGCTTTGCTGGCTGAGGAATTCTGGGAGTCGAAGTCCACAAGCCTTAAAGTTTAGCTGGCTGAGGAATTCTGGGAGTCGAAGTCCACAAGCCTTAAAGTTTAGCTGGCTGAGGAATTCTGGGAGTTGAAGTCCCCAAGTCTTAAAGTGGCCAAGGTTGGAGACCCCTGCAATAGGCAATCAGATGGAGGGCCGGAAAAGCTCTCCCCAAAATGCAATACAGCCCTTGACTTACAACTATTCCTTTAGTGACTAGTTCCAAATTGGAAAGACACAGAAAAAAGTGACTTTTGGAGGGGGGGGAGGCTGCCTTTTTCACCAGACCTGTTGCAGCCTCCCCACGGTCACATGATCAAAATTGGGGTGCCCTGGCAATTTATATTTATGACCGTTGCACCATCCAGAGGGTCACGATTTGTGGCCTTCCAGGTCACCTTAACGAATTTCTCACTTAGCAACACACTTTTTTTTTTTTTTAATTTATATGCCGCCCTTCTCCGGAGACTCAGGGCGGCTTACACTGCGGTAAGCAATAGCCGTCATACTTTTGTATATTTTTATACAAAGTCAGCTTATTGCCCCCACAAACTGGGTCCTCAGTTTACCTACCTTAGAAAGGATGGAAGGCTGAGTCAACCTTGAGCCTGGCGAGATTTGAACTTACTTTAATTGCAGACAGCTGGTGTTAAATTACAGTGCTTGTCTGCAGAGCTATCCAGTGAATCCTGGGATCCACTGTGGTCATAAGTTGGACTACCTGTATGCTGACTTTGTAAACCGCTTAGAAAGCGGTAAAGAACTGTGAAGCGGTATACAAATCTAAGTGCTATTGCTGTCCCTTCTTTCCTCCTTCTCTTCTGCCTTCCTTCCTTCCCTCCTCTCCTCCCTTCCTCCCACCAGATAGCAATTACCTGCTGTGCAATTTCCTGCCGGCTAATTCACTGCCCACTTGCCAGCAGTTCGATACTGACCTCCTCAAGGTTGACTCAGCCTCCCATCCTTCTGAGCTTGGTAAATTGAGGACCCAGATTGCTGGGGGTGGGGGGTAGGGGGCAATAAGCTCTGTAAATTGCTTAGAGCAGGGCAGGGGTGAAATGTAAAATTTGTTACTACCGGTTCTGTGGGCATGGCTTGGTGGGGGTAATGTGACTGGGTGGGCGTGGCCTTTTTTTTTTTTTTAACTTTTCAAAGCATTTTTTCTAATGTTTTGAAAAGCCTCTGCCGATCAGGCAACTCAGCTGGGATCGTCAGAGACTTTTCAAAGCATTTTTTTTACCTCTTCGGCCAAGAGGTTGCAGAAAAAAATGCTTTGAAAAGACTCTGACGATCCCAGCTGAGCCACGCGATCATCAGAGGCTTTTTTTTTTAACTTTTAAAAGCATTTTTTCATCGGAAGAAATTGTAGAAAAAATGCTTTTAAAAGTAAAAAAAAAAAAAGCCTCTGATGATTGTGCGGCTCAGCTGGGCATGGTGGTGGTGGTGGTGGTGGTGGGGTAGGGATTTTTGCTACCGGTTCTCCGAACCACCCGCCACCATCGCTACCGGATCGGGCAATCCCGGTCCGAACCGGGAGCATTTCACCCCTGCAGCAGGGGTGAAATCCAGTAGGTTCTGGAGAACCGGTAGCAGAAATTTTGAGTAGTTTGGAGAACCAGCAAATACCACCTCTGGCTGGCCCCTGAGTGGGGTGGGAATGGAGATTTCGCAATATCCTTCCCCTGCCATTCCCACCAAGCCACTCCCACAGAACCAGTTAAAAAAATTGGATTTCACCACTGGCTTAGAGGGCTGTTAAAGCACTGCAAAGCGGCATATAAGTCTTTTAAGCGCTATTGCTATTGCCTCCTTTGCAGTCACTCAACACTGGTGCCAATGTTTAAGAGTAAGGAGGGCAAACCCTTACTTCCAACAGCGGTTGGGTCCTTACCATGAAGATCCAAATCTTTGGGGCAGAAAGGTGGAGCTACACCCAATTTGCACTTCAACGGATGCGCATTGTGTGTTGTAAAATTTTAAACTTTTAAAAACGTTGCTTTGAAACAACAGTTGGAAAAAAGCAAATGTCATGCAATGGGGAGTTATTGAAACACGGAGTCAGGGCTGTGTCCGTGGGAGGTCACAAAAGTCAAGATGGCTGCCACACAATGCCCCCCACCCTTTCTACCTGCAGCTCGGCTTCAGCAAGGTCTTGCCTCTCTTGGGCTTACAAGAAAGTCCTTGACTTACAACAGTTCATTTAGTGACTGATCCAAGAAGTGACTTATGTGACCATTTTTCACACCACCGTTGCAGCGTCCCCATGGTCACATGACCAAAATTCAGATGCTTGGCAACTGACTCGTACTTATGACGCCCCTTTTGCCACCTTCTGACAAGCCAAGTCGATGGGGAAGCCAGATTCACTTAACAACTGGGTTACTAACTTAACAACTGTTAGTGATTCGCTTAACAACTGTGGCAAGAAAAGTCGTAAAATGGGGCAAAATTCTGCTTGGCAACAGGAAGTTTGGGGTCAATTGTGGTCGTTAAGTCGAGAACTACCTGCAACGTCCTTGCGATACCGTCAATGGCTAGGGGAGGAAAAGTCACAAAGCCTCCCGAAGTCACAAACATTAGTTTAATTCAACATTTATAAGTGATGTTATTGTAAGGCATCCAGGTACATCTCCAAGGAATTTCCACCCTGGTTGCATACATTCTCCTGGAAAATAAAAATTAAAAAAAAAAAAAATGCAGGATAACAAGATGGTAGAAAGGTGTGTAGGAGTTGCGGTCTCGGCCAGAGTGGACCAGGTGTCAAAAGTGCTGCCAATCAAAACGACGTTAAAACGGGCAGATGTTTCTGGGGAGATGGGGGCCCTGCACCTTTCCAAATGACGGAGGAAATTCCAGAGCCGCTACGCCAAAGGATCGCAACCCAACTCGAGCAATTTTGCAGTCCGACTTCATTATTGCTTGCCCAAAATCGCCCCAAGTGAAAAGATATTTCGGGGGGGAAACAGAGCCAAGGATGTGGAAAACAGACAATTTAAGCACCTTTGTGGAGCTGGAATCAGTTTTCACCAAGTAGGAGGCAGCGGACAAGCACCCTCTCTGCCAGAGCTGGACACGGGAGTGGTATCTGGGGGGGGGTTATCTGCCCATCTTTACTGGGAGAGAGAATAAATATTACTCTTGAAACAAGGGAGGCGCGCACAGAAAGAAATCCCAGAGTTGCTTTGGTAAAAAAAAAAAAAAAGCACGTGAAAAGGGTTGCGTTGAGCTCGTGCGCGCGGGGAAAATGAACGAAGGGGTTGGAAACAACCGGCGGCACCGACCGAAGACCACAGCGCCAAAGGTGTGAAGACAAAGTCAGTAGGTTTACAGCAACCTCAGTACAGGCTTTTGTGTGATTGTTGGTCTTGTGGTTTTTTTTTTTTGCAAAGAACACTCCTATTTTACCTGTGGTGGAAAGGGAAATAGCGACACTGCACTGTCGCATTTGGTGGCTGGCCGCTGACATAACCGTGGCGGAATCTCGCAAGGCCTTCCCATCCCTGTTGGGCAGTGTGTGCCTACTACGCCGAAACTTGTTGGGCTTGCTGGTCTCTGAGGAAAGCAAGGCAGTGTTGACACCCATGTTCCTACCAAGGGCTGGCTTCTCCCCCCTCTCCCCGTCTCTATAAAGCAGTGATGGCTAACCTTTTTGCCATCGCGTGCCAGGAGAGAGGGGGCGGGGGGAGGGTGGCGCATGCACGTGCCCGTGCGCATGCGCACGCAACCCCACCCACCCCCGCTCCTGGCACATGATGGCCTGGTAGGCCCATTTTTCTTTCTTACCTGATTCCAGATCCTTTCTATGCATCTGGGAAGGTCGAAAACAGCCTTTCCCACTCCCTTGGAGGCCCTACGGAGGCTGAAAGGGCCCATTTCCCACCTCTCGGTGGGACAGGAAGTGATATTTTTTGCTGTCCCCAGCCTCCAGAACCTCTCTAGGAGTCTGTAGGAGCCTCTCTAGGAGTCTGTAGGAGCCTTTCTAGGAGTCTCTGGAGGCTGGGGACAGGAAAAAACGTCACTTCCTGTCCCACCGGGAGTCGGGAAATGGGCCCTTTCAGCCTCCGTAGTGCCTCCAAGGGAGTGGAAAGGCTGTTTTCGCCCTTCCCAGATACACAGAGAGGATCTGAAGCCAGGTAAGAAAGAAAAACGGGCCTTCCTCACCCCGCCCCCAGGCCCTCCAGAGGCAGGAAACAGCATGTTTCCCTACTTCTGGTGGGCCCAGAAGGCCCGAAAATCAGCTGGCCGGCGCACGCATGCGCCCCAGAGCTGAGCTGGCGTGCCCACTAATATGGCTCCGCGTGCTACCTGTGGCACGCGTGCCATAGGTTTGCCATCACGGCTATAAAGCCTGCTGTGCACTCACACCCTCAGCCTGCGGACTCCACCCAAGTCTCTTTTTAATACCTGACCCATTTTCAACCGTTTTCCTGAAAACCGAGACGCCACTTGGAAGAAAACGCGTCATTCTTTCAGGTTCTGGGTCACGAGCGCCGCATACAACAGGAGAAAAATCCCGACTTCAACATTTTACCATGATCCTGATCAGTTTTTCTTCCCGCCCAGCCTTGGGGCCGGGGAGGATCCTGCTGCCTCCTTCAAGGCCTGGGGAGCGAGTGCCGGAAATTGCACTTCGTTGGCAGACACACACACAGACACACACACACACACACACACAAATCAATCCGATGTTCACATTCATGATGCAACGAGCCCAAACAGTCGCTTGCTCCCAGTCGCTGCTTAAGAGTTAGAAAGAAAGAAAGAAAAATACATCCCTGATATCTCGTCGTGCCTAGGGGGTCAGGCACCTGAAGGCACATAGGATTCTCGATGTACACATGTGGGGAGGAATTTAAAAAAAAAAAATCCAACAACACCCCCCCACCCCAAGCAGTGGCACCAAGGGCAAGAGAGGGCAGACTTGGCTTGACGTCTTGACTGGCCCTTCCGGCTTCCAAGGTCCAGCGTGAGCTAAGCAGACACATTGACGTCCCTGAGAGAAACGGCACCATGCGCGGCTCCTCCTCTGTCTTCAAGCTCGGCGCCCGGAGGGTCACCCACCACGGCGGCCGTGTCCGTGGCGAGAAGTGGTTGGTTCAAGCCCTGGGTCAGGATCTGATGAATGGTTTTCCGCAGGTTCGGGTGGAGGTGGGCTTGGGTCTGTAAAAAAACTTCGAGGGCGAAAGACTTGAGGGTGCCAGTGCAGAGGTCCTCGTACAATGGAATCGTGTACATGCGGGACATCTGTAACAACGCAAGCAGAAAGGAACCCAGTCAGGGTCATCCCAAGAGACTCGCATCGAATCTGATCGTCGTGGTAGTAACAGAAACCTGGGACCAGCGACAGATTAAGTAGTCAAAGGTTGAATTTTTTCTAAAACTTCTGCTACATCTCCCCCAACCAAAGCTGGACTACGGTTGCTTACTGTCGGCTGTGGTCACAGGATGTCTGCTAAGGCATCTGAAACCTCACTGCTGCCACCTAGTGGACAACGCCCTGTCGTCCTTGACTTACCACAGTTCATTTAGTGACTACTTGAAATTACAAGAGCACCGAAACGGCACTTAGGGACTGTTGGAACATCTCCATGGTCGTGTCATCGATATTCAGGTGCTTGGCAACTGGTATGTATTTATTGACAGTTGCATAGATCAGGGGTCTCCAACCTTGGCAACTTTACGACTTGCGGATTTCAACTCCCAGAATTCCTCAGCCAGCGCATGCACAGGCTGAGGAATTCTGGGAGTTGAAGTCCACAAGTCGTAAAGTTGCCAAGGTTGGAGACCCCAGGCATAGATGATGTCGTATCCCTCTCCCTCTGTTAAGAGAAGGCTGTTCAGTCTTGACATAACAATAGCACTTAAGACTTATATACCACTTTTTAGTGTTTTTCACAACTCTCTAAGTGGTTTTATAGAGCTAGCATATGTCCCCCCCCCCCCCAACAATCTGGGTCCTCATTTTACCCACCTCGGAAGGACGGAAGACTGAGTCAACCTTGAGCCTGGTGGGATTTGAACTGCCAAATTGCAGGAATACTGCAAAAGGAGTATTCCTGCAATTTGTATTACTGCAAAAGGAGTACTGCAGAAGTAGCCTGCAGTACTGCACTCTAACCACTGCGCCACCGAAGCTCATAAATGGCCTCTTTGACCCCTCTTTCAAACCAGCGGTCCTCTCTGCCCAAAATATAGACTTTGCTGTCTTCAAGAGTATCTTTTAAATGCAGATGGACTGCTGAATCTAGTCAACAGAGCGGGAGGGATACGACCTCATCTATCGCCAGCCTACAACACAATCCGTTGAGCAGTTCCCAGAAAGCTCCACGCCCATTTGCACCATCTCAGGTGACCCTGAGTACACAGGTAAACCTCCAATGTGGCCTCAATGACCCTCAAAAACGATACAAATGAACCAGCTGTCTGCAAGGAATATAAACAGCCTTGGTAGTACAGTGGTCTAAGGCACCCTGTTATTAAGCTGGTTATTAAGACCAGCTGCCTGCAATTACTGCAGGTTCGAATCTCGCCAAGGCTCAAGGTTGACTCAGCCTTCCATCCTTTCTAAGGTAGGTAAATTGAGGACCCAGTTTGTGGGGGCAATAAGCTGACTTTGTCTAAATATACAAAAGGATGAAGGCTATTGCTGAGCACATTGTAAGCCGCCCTGAGTCTCCGGAGAAGGGCGGCATATAAATCAAATTAAAAAAATTTAAAAATCCTTCCGTTCCCCACCATCCAGTCAGAGCTGAGGAAGCTTCTTGGATGAGAAGCGAAACATCTTCAAAGAAAAACTAGAAAGTCCAGTTTTTTCAGGAGGAAACTGGACTTTCTAGTTTTTCTTTGAAGATGTTTTTTTTTTTCAAATATAAAAAAAAAGCACCTTTGGGACAACCATGACCTGGATGACTGAGAATCTCCGTCAACTTTTAGGCTCAATTGTGGTTGTAAATCGAGGATTAGCTGTAACTCTACTAAGCATTCTGAAACAAAGCTCTCTAGTGCCACCTAGTGGCCCATTTCCCCCAGGATAAGGAGGGAAGCCTATTTATTTTGTTATTGCTTGGGGTTGTTGGATTAATAATATCCTGGCTTTTGGTTCAAGGCAACATACACAGTGCTACATTTTTGCCCAGCGTTTCTCATCCTTGGCAGCTTTAAGATGTGCGGACTTTAACTCCCAGAATTCCCTGGCCAGGGAATTCTGGGAGTTGAAGTCCACAAGTCTTAAAGTTGCCAAGGTTGGAAACCCCTGGTCTGGAGTGGCATGGGCTCAGACCAGGGGTGGGTTCTAAATTTTTTTATTACTGGTTCTGTGGGCGTGGCTTATTTTGTGGGCGTGGCTTGATGGTCATGTGACAAACAATTCTTTAGGATTTAGTAGAGGTACTGGTCTACCAGGCTTTTAACTGCTTGCAGAGCCATACTGGTCTGCCCATTTGTTTTTGGAGCGCACTGGTCTACCACCACACGGCCTTTTACCACTGATCAGCTGTAGGGCGGCCCTTTGAAGCGCCGCGGCAAGAGTTTAAACAGTTTTTTGCCGCTCTGCCACCACCGAGAGCATCGGAAACCGCTTTCAGGCAGCTTGGCCTCAATTGCCAATCTACCACCACCGAGTGGATCAGTTCTAGCCGATCCGTTGGGAGGCTTCTTGGCTTCTCAATTTAAAGCGACGGTGTCTTGTTTTTTTTCCCTCTTCTTTGTCAAGTGAGCCCTGATTTTTTCCTTCTAGCCAATCAGCTGGGACTCGGGAGGCAGCAAATAGATTGGGGGCAGGGCCAGGCAGAGGTGGTATTTACCGGTTCTCCAAACTACTCAAAATTTCCACTACCGGTTCGCAAGAGCCCTGGTGGCGCAGCAGATTAAAGCACTGTTATTAACATCAGCTGCCTGCAATTACTGCAAGTTCAAATCTCACCAGGCTCAAAGTTGACTCAGCCTTCCATCCTTTTAAAGGTAGGTAAAATGAGAACCCAGATTGTGGGGGCAATAAACCGACTTTGTATAAATATATACAAAAGGATGAAGGCTATTGCTTAACGCATTGTAAGCCGCCCTGAGTCTCCGGAGAAGGGCGGCATATAAATCAAATTTAAACAAAAAACAAAAAACGGGGAGAACCGGTAGCAACCCACCACTGGCTCAGACCCATCAGCCACAGGACAGCCATGTAGATCTACGACACACTGTTGACAATATAGCGTTGAATACAGAGGTACAGATAGTCCTCGACTTACAACAGTTCATTTAGTGACCGTTCACAGTTAACAACAGCACTGAAAAAAGTGACTTAGGGCTGTTTTTCATGCAACTGTTGCAACATCCCTGTGATTATGTGATCAAAATTTGGATGCATGGCAAGTGGTTCATATTTATGACGGTCGCCGTGTCCCGGGGGTCATATGATTATCTTTTACGACCTTCTGACAAGGACAGTCAATGGGGAAGCCCGATTCGCTTAACAGACATGTTACTCATTTTAACAACGGCAGTGATTCACTTAACCCCTATGGCAAGAGAGATCGTAAAGTGGGGCAAAATTATCTTAACAACTGTTCACGGCTTAGCAACAGAAATTTTGGGCTCAATTGGTGGTCATACGTCAAGGACTACATGTGTTTGCTCATGGTCCTTCCATTCCACCACCTCGGCCAACCAGTAAACCTTTTTTTGAGGTATTTAAAATTTAATAGCTGGAGCAGTGAAGGATTGGACCATGAGTAAGAACACACGCTTATAGCTAATTGGTTAAAGAGAGCTGGCCACTACATGAGGGAATCTGAGCTGTGATTGGCTGCTGTGAGAGTGAAGGGGGAGTTTCCTTGTTTCCCGCCTTTTTCCCCGTGTGGGCTCCCTGTAATTTACCTCAGGATTCTCGTGCTGTGCGGATTTACCTGACGATGCTCCTGTTTGCCTATCTTATTTATTGTAAAAAATCAATCAGAATAGTGCTGGACGGGACCTTGGAGGTCTTCCAGTCTAACCCTCTGCTCAAGCAGGAAACTCTACCATTTCAGACAAGTGGCTGTCCTGTCTCTTCTTAAAAACGTCCAGTAATGGAGCACTCACAACTTCTAGTGGCAAGCAGTTCCACTGATTAATTATCCTCACTGTTAGGAAGTTTCTCCTTAATTCCAGGCTGCTTCTCTGCTTGATTAGTTTCCATCCTTTGTTTCTTGCTCTGCCCTCTGGTGCTTATATCTATATATCCATATATCTGTTGGTCTGTTGGTCCGTCCATCCGTCCATCCAATCTATGTATCTATCTACCAGTTATCTTATCTATCTTTCTATCTATCCATCCATCCATCCATCCAATCTATGTATCTACTAGTTATCTATCTATCTATCTATCTATCTATCTATCTATCTATCTATCTATCTATCTATCTATCTATCTATCATCTATCCATCCATCCATGTATCTACCAGTTATTTATCTATCCATTCATCCATCCAATGTATCTATCCATCCATCCATCCATCCATGTATCCATGTATCTATCTACCAGTTATCTATCTATCTGTCTGTCCGCCCATCCATTCATCCATCCAATCTACGTATCTATCTACCAGTTATCTATCATCTATCTATCTATCTATCTATCTATCTATCTATCTATCTAATCTATCTATCTATCATCTATCCATCCATCCATGTATCTACCAGTTATTTATCTATCCATTCATCCATCCAATGTATCTATCCATCTATCCATCCATCCATCCATCCATGTATCTATCTACCAGTTATCTATCCATCCATCCATCCATCCTCTACCCACACACACACACAAATAATATATTTATATTTATTTATATAAAATTGGTTGTCAGTGTCTCTGGCTTCATTTGGACTCTGGCTGAGCAATTCTCTGAGAAACATCTATTCCCACGTCCAAGTATCAGAGCTTCCCATGTCTTTGTGCATCAACTGGTTTCCCGCCTCAAATCTCACACCCTGAGCAGCACCAAGCCTTTCAACCCAGCAACGGATACCTGGTTTTCCAAGAAGCGACGGACTTTGTGGACATCAGGATAGTAATCATTGCGGACGATGATCTGCAGCCAGCGGATACGAATCTCGGCATTCATGTTTTCCAGCTGAGCCGAGTAGCATTCGGACAACTTTGTTATCACCTCTGGGGAAGACAACATTTATCTCATTTGCTTTTGATTCAGTTTAGAGGCCATCCGACGACTCTGGATGGTGCAAATGTGCATGTGGATTAATAATCTCTGGAAAGTCATTAAGGTGGAAACGATATGGATCTCATTCCAGAGGATAGGCCCCAGCTCAGAGAAAGAACACTTTCTGAGTCCCATAAGACGACACAGCTTAAACGACTGACCTCACTGGACAGCCAGAAATAACCAATAATCAAAGCCGTGGGGACAAGTGAGCCTAATGCAACACATTCATCAGACTTATAAAAAGAGTATTTATGTAGCTCAGAGTTGAAATTGCGGGGTCCTTGGTGGTTCTCTGAGCTTGGTTGTTTTCTTGCAGACGTTTCATTACCCTACTAGGTAATTAAACTCACCGTGTGGCAAGGGCGACCCATCCAGTAACCTATCCAGGAAAAGCACCGTCTGGAATGTTTGCCACTCGGCGATGTTGACGCTGTTCGCAGCAGCTCCTGCGTCCAGAGGCTCTGTGGTCCAGAGATGGAACAGCGTCTCCACCGGCTGGGTCAAGCTGGATCCCTGAGATAAGTCTGGTTCGACTAAAGGAGGCCCTGTGGCATTGAGCCAGCGGTCAAACTCTAGACCTGCAACAGATTTGCCGACAAGGATCACGTTGGAAATCCATGTTCATTGTGATCAAAATTCAGATGGTTCCTACTTATGACGTCGCTGTGTCCCAAGGCTATGTGATCGCCTTTTGCGACCTTCTTGCAAGTGAACTCAATGGGGAAGCCAGGTTCACTTAACAACCATAGCATACCCATGATTATGTGACTTAACATTCAGATGCTTAGCATCTGGTTCCTATTTATGACGGTTGCCGTGTCCCAGGCAGAGGTGGGCTTCAGCAGGTTGTGACCAGTTCTAGAGAACCGGTAGCGGAAATTTTGAGTAGTTCGGAGAACCGGTAGTAAACATTCTGACTGGCCCCGCTCCCATCTATTCTCTGCCTCCCAAGTCCCAGCTGATCGGGAGGAAATGGGGATTTTGCAGTATCCTTCCCCCAGAGTGAGGTGGGAATGGAGATTTTACAGTATCCTTTCCCTGCCACGCCCACCATGCCACGCCCAAAGAACCGGTAGTAAAAAATTTTGAAACCCACCACTGGTCCCAGGGTCATGTGATCACCTTCTGTGACCTTCTGGCAATGGGGAAGCTAGATTCACTTAAGAACCGGGTTACTCACTTAACCACCGCAATGATTCACTTCGCAAGTGTGGCAAGAAAAGTCGTAAAATGGGGCACTTTAACAACTGTCTCATTGAGCAACAGAAATTTTGGGCTCAATTGTAGTCATAAGCCAAGGGCTGCTATCAGGTGTGCTTCCTTCAAAGTCAGGAAAGAATGACCCAAACTCTTACGTTTTATAGAGAAAGGTACTTTTACTAGAAATGAAGTGAACGCAACCACGGCTAAACTGAAAGCAGAGGCTGACAGCTGCCTGTAGTTTGTCTCCTCCATCTGGGCAGCACTCCTAAGAGTGAGTGAGTGAGTGAGTGTCATTCTGCCAAGGTCCTCTTCCCTACCTGTTTTGCAATCGATGCATTGTTCTTTCAGGTCTGGAAAAAATGCCAAGAAGGAATCCAACAGATCTTGGGCTACAACACTTGTGAACTTGTACTTCTCGATATAAGTCTGAAAGAGAGCCAGCAGAAACACAGGTTACAAAATTAATGGCAAGAGCGAAGTTGAGCAAAGAGGAAACTGGAGGGGCCCAGAGTGGAAATGGCCAGAAAAGCAACAGGGATGAGGACACATACACTAGAAAGAACAAAGTTAAAATATTACAATTGAAGGAGCTTCTCTAAGAGGAGAGCGGAAAATAATCAAGGTTTAAATAAAATCAAAAACAGCCGTGCTGGATTTTTAATGCTCTGACAGAAAGATCCCCGCTGATGGAAAATTTCTAGAGGTCATTCATCCAGCACAATATTTTTCTTTTAATTAAGAGCGGGCTCCAGTCCTTTATGACAGCACAGTAATTTAGGGGACCGAGACTACATTCTGAAATAAAATCAATAACGCTCCAGAACTTTTAGCAAGTGTGTGTAGGGATATATTCACACGTGCACTAGAGGAGGGGTCTCCAACCTTGGCAACTTTAAGCCTGGAGGACTTCAACTCCCAGAATTCCCCAGCCAGCTTGGCTGGCTGGGGAATTCTGGGAGTTGGAAGTCCTCCAGGCTTAAACTTGCCAAGGTTGGAGACCACGCAGGGGTGAAATCCAGCAGGCTCTGACAGGTTCTGGAGAACCAGTAGCGGAAATTTTGAGTCGTTCGGAGAACCGGCAAATACCACCTCTGGCTGGCCCCAGAGTGGGGTGGGAATGGAGATTTTGCAATATCCTTTCCCCAGGAGTGGGGAGGGAATGGAGATTTTGCAGTATCCTTCCCCTGCCATGCCCACCAAGCCACACCACACCCACCAAGCGACACCCACAGAACCGGTAGTAAAATAATTTGGATTTCACTACTGGAGACCCCTGCACTAGAGCAGCCCCCCCCCCCCCCGCCAACCTTTTGGGCACCAGGGACCGGTTCCGTGAAGAGAAGTTTTTCCATGGACCGTAAGGGGCATGGTTTTATGTGCTGCCTGTATCCCGTGGATGGGGCTTTGCTTGTTTGCGTGGCCCGGTTTTTGGCATGCTGCGGCCTGGATCCGGTCCATGGACTGAGAATTGGGGACTCCTGCACTAGAGGCCTTCAGATATTTTCTCCAGCCTAATAGAGCTAGGAACCACTGCTGGAAAAAGGCGTTTTTCAATAAAAATTTAATGGAAAAACTCTTTTGCGCTGTTGCTGTAAAAACTACATAACTATATCTCTGTAGTCATCAGAGTTGTATCTACACTAAAGGGATTTTAACACATATACAGGCAGGGTGGATTTAATTTAAATCGAGTTGATTTAAATCACAATTTAAATCATGATTTAAATCACCAGTAAAAAGGCTTGATTTAAATCAACTCGATTTAAATAATTTTTAAAGAGCAGCTGTCATCTCTGCTACTCCTTTGACCCACTGTTGACTCACCGATAGTCCCAGTGTTGCAGAATATACAGCCTCATGCTACATAACTAAGCTCCATTTCATGCTGAATAAACTAAATTATTTATGTATCTTAAATAGAAAACTATCTTACGATGGATTTTTTACCCCAAAAGTTTTTAAATTAAAATAAATTCGATAAAAATCAAAAAAATCTGATTTAAATTAAAAAAAAATGATTTTTTTTTGTTTTCTTTAAAAAAAATCATTGATTTTTATCCACCCTGTTACAGGTACTATATATGTAAGTCCTACTATCTATCTATCTATCTATCTATCTATCTATCTATCTATCTATCTATCTATCTATCTATTCTGAGGAGATCAACCCTGACTGCTCTTTAGAAGGCCAGATCCTGAAGATGAAACTCAAATCCTTTGGCCACCTAATGAGAAGGAAGGATTCCCTGGAGAAGAGCCTAATGCTGGGAAAGATGGAGGGCAAAAGAAGAAGGGGACGGCAGAGAATGAGGTGGCTGGATGGAGTCACTGAAGCAGTAGGCGTGAGCTTAAATGGACTCAAGAGGATGGTAGAGGACAGGAAGGCCTGGAGGAACGTTGTCCATGGGGTCGGACACAACTTCGCAACTAACAACAACAACAGATACACATGCACCCACCACTCTTCTCAACCTTTCTCAGGTGGCCTTCTTGGATCCTGAAATAAGCTAAGAAGGGCTGAACTTAATTTATTCTCAGATGGGAGACCACCAGGTCTCAAATCCAAATGCTAGACTGGGAAGCTGGAAAAAAGGAGATGCCGACAAAACACTTTCATGTTGCTACCAAAAGGACATGGAGATTAACAATCAGCCAAGCTTTTTTTTTTTCTTCTCTTTTTACAACCCTGTAATCCCTTGTTTCGGGGTAGGGCAGAACGATTTCTAGTTGGATGGGGTTGGAGCAACTGATTAGGGCTGAGCATTTACTGGCCAGATGCCCTTCCTGATGCCTTTGCGGAGTTCACAGCAGATATTTTCTCTTTTGAGCCCTGACAGAGAAACATCGGTCGCTGCCTAGGTTTGAACTCTCAACCTTCTGAGTGGGAGGCGAGAGTCTTCACCTCTAGGCTACGGCAACCCCTCAAACTCAGTCAAGTTGGCATAATGAATTCCTGAGTTTTGCTTCCTGTGTTCTCATGTTACAACCCTTGTTCACTTGTTACTCTCAGAAAAGTTTTTATCGGGTTCTGCCAGAGGAATGCATACCATGACACTTTTGCTGGTATGTTTCAACCGCAGGTAGTCCTCGACTTACAACCATTCGTTTAGTGACTGTTCAAATTCGCAATGGCACTGAAAAAAGTGACTTATGACTATTTTTCACAGTTAACAACTGTTGCAGCATCCTTATCAGGGGTGGGCTCTAAAATTTTTTACTACCGGTTCTGTGGGCGTGGCTTATTTTGTGGGCGTGGCTTGATGGTCATGTGACAATTATTTAGGATTTAGCAGAGGTACTGGTCTACCAGGCTTTTAACTGCTTGCAGAGCTGTACCGGTCTACACATTTGTTCTTGGAGCGTTCCGGTCTACCCATTTGTTTTTGGAGGCACTGGTCTACCACCCAACTGCCTTTTAACACTGATCAGCTGTAGGGCAGCCCTTTGAAGCCCTGCGGCAAGAATTTAAACAGTTTTTTCCTTCTAGCCGATCAGCTGGGACTCAGGAGGCAGCAATAGATTGGGGGCGGGGCCAAATAAAAGGTAAGAATAACACGACGGGGGAGCTGGGGGGGGCAGGCCCAGCTCCCAAACAAAGAGAACCGGTTCGGTGACGTCATTTCGTCACCACTACCGGCTCGGCCGAACCGGGAGAAACCCACCACTGATCCTTGTGGCCATGTGATTATAATTCGGACGCTCAGCAACATATTTATGACAGTTGCAGTGTCCCATGGTTACGTGATCCCGCTTTTGCGACCATCTGATATGCAAAGTCAACGGAGAAGCCAGATTCACTTAAAAACCGTGTTACTAACTTAACAACCCCTGGCAAAAAAAAAGATCGTAAAATGGAGCAGAATTCACTTAACAACTGCCTCACAATTGGGCTCAATTGTGCTTGTAAGTCGAGGACTACCTGTAAGGATCCAACTTTCAAACAAATGACTGAGATCTAAACTCCACCTTTCGTTTTTGGATGGAGTCATGTGTTTTTTTCAAAGGATTCCGCTGAAAATGACTGGTTTGAACTGAGATTCACTGGCAAAGTCGAAGGGGCAATAAGTATCCACGGGCACCCATGCGTATACCCCCACCTCCCGCCCCAAACCAGGTTACTAACTCGGAGAAAGGCATCAAAATGTGTTGGGTCTCCGCACAGCTGAGACAGATAGTAAACAAAGCAGAACCCTTTCTCGTAGGTGAAGAGGTTCATCAGGTTGCTGGGATTCACACCTGGGGAAAAAAAGAAGAAGAAGAGAGGATAAGAGTGATAAGAAAAATAAATGGCAATACAGATAGTCCTCGATTTATGACCACAAAATATCCACTGCTAAGGAAGACAGTTGTTAAGTGAGTTTTGCCCCCATCTTATGACCATCCTTGCCACAGTTGTTAAGTGAATCACTACAGTTGTTAGTAACATGGTTGTAAAATGAATCTGGTTTTTCCCTGTAGACTTTGTTTGTCGGAAGGTCGCAAAAGGGGATAATGGGACCCTGGCGTCACTGCAACCGTCACAAATATGAGTCAGTTGCCAAGCGTCTGAATTTTGATCACGTCACCACAGGGATGCTGCAGCAGTCGTTAAGTGTGAAAAACGGTCATAAGTTACTTTTTTCAGTGCCGTTGTAACTTCAGTTGGAATGGTCACTAAACGAATTGTGGTAAGTGGAGGACTGTCAACACTTCAACCTGCATTTACTCTAGTGCTGACATAAGGAGGAGAAGAGGGGGCAGCTGGCAAGAGGACGCTTGACTTCTCACCTACTTATTTTCCCTGAAGATAATATCCCCTAGGAGATGAGATGGGAGGGGGACATTCCTGGGAGCTTAAGTAATAGATATGGGGAGAGTGATTTGGAAGAAGGCCAATGAAACGTAGAGAATTGGGGAACGGAAAGGGAAGGTTTGGGGTCAGGAAGTCAGAGTTGGCTACGCCACGATCGGGGACAGGTTGTTGTGCTTAATAAAATGAAAGATTTCTTCAAAGACTATCTGTTTGGAAATGCAATTTATTTTATTTGAGACGACATCGAAACCTGACAGGGACTACCTGTAAACATTTGGGGGTGGGAGCATTATTTTCTTTCTCTTCGTATTGTAACTTGCTTTGGAATGGACTTTTTAGAACCATCACTGTGCCTGTTGTTTTTCAAATCAAAGAACTGACAAATCAGCTTCAAAAAAATCTGGGCTTTGCTTTAGAGTGGTGGTCCCCAACTTTTCCAGCTTTGCGGACCAGTGGTGGCGGGGCGGGGAGAGTGGATGGTTCTGAGCGCACAGCTCCATTTGTGCCAGGGGCGGGCACGCGTGCCTCCATTTGTCATTCACCCAAATATGAGCTGTGTGTGAGCTCCCCTCACTTGGGCAAATGGAAGCTGCACGTTGCTACGGCCCAGTAGTTTGGGGGACCCCTGCTGTAAAGGGTTTTATGAACCCAGCCAACCTGTATTTATCCCACAAGCTATGTTATTTTTCTTTTTTTGTCTTTTAATGACCCCATAATCCAGGGGTGAAATGCTCCCGGTTCGGACCGGGTTGCCTGATCCAGTACCGATGGTGGCGGGTGGTTCGGAGAACCAGTAGCAAAAATCCCTACCCCCCCCCATGCCCAGCTGAGCCGCGCGATCATCAGAGGCTTTTTTTATTTATTTTTAAAACATTTTTTCTACAACCTCTTCGGCCGAAAAAATGCTTTTAAAAGTTAAAAAAAAAAAAAAGCCTCTGATGATCGCGCGGCTCAGCTGGGATCGTCAAGAGGCTTTTAAAAGTTTTTTTTTTTACAACCTCTTCGGCCAAAGAGGTTGTAGAAAAAAATGTTTTTAAAAGAAAAAAAAAAGCCTCTCACGATCAGGCAACTCAGCTGGGATCGTCAGAGGCTTTTAAAAGCATTTTTTAACAACCTCTTAAAATGGTTTTAAAGGTTAAAAAAAAAGTGGCCACGCCCACTGTCACATTACCACCCCCCACCAAGCCACGCCCACAGAACCGGTAGTAACAAATTTTACATTTCACCACTGCCATAATCCCTTACATTGGGGTGGAGTCAGGGCAACTGAATGGAGCTGAATGTTTACTGGCCGGATGCCCTTCCTGTCACCAATGCGGAGTTCGCAGCAGATAACTACTCACGATACCCAGAGAGAGAAATATCTGCCGCTACCTAGGATCGAACTCACAGCCTCCTGATCTTGAGGCGAGAACTCCGCCTCTAGGCCACTACCCCACTCTACCCCACAAGCTATAATGAACCAAGACCCTGTTTGCCGTCTTCACCTTCTGCAACTTTCATTTCGGTAATTCCTTGAGCAATCTACGCAGAGAAGGCAAATCCACTGGCTTGATTTTATCTTCCTTACCTGGTTCAAGTTTAACCTGAAGTTTGCTGACAGGGTTGTCCTCCCCAAGGAGCTTCATTTGTCGGTGAAGGGCATCAAGGCGGAAGGCTGTCTCCAGGCACGTAAAAGCAGCACCTGTCCACAGGCATACCCCAAAATACATGGATTTTAATTCGAGAGTTGTCGTTTTTTTCCAGATTATGTGGAAGTTCGGATGACTCTGTCTTCCGATACATATGGCATTACCCCTCTTTATGTTTTCTCTCCCTAAGTGTTGTGGCTCCATTACCTGAGCCTGTGTTATCGGAGGGAGAAGGCTCCGAAAGTGAAGGAGAGGAGTTGGCCAGGCCTCCCTCTCCAGGACCCTCCTCTCTGGTAATGCCTCAGGTGTCTCCCGAAGGAGAAGAGATTGGCCAGGAGCCAGGTATCGCCGAGCAGTCGCAGTTGGACAGTGACGGAGATAAGTCTTGGCTGGATCCACGCCAGCGTCGGAGAGACAAGCGCACGCAGCAGAAAAGGAGGTGTGCCAGAGATTAAGCTGAGTCACTGGAGCACACCCCACAGGGGATAAAAGGGGGTATGGTGGCCATTCAGGCTCTGTGACGGACAAAACTAAACAACTAGCGAGTCGCATTGTATCTCTGAAACTACGTTATTTGCCTGCCTTGGATTTAATACGGACTGGACTTGACAATTCTGTGGCTTTGTGTATTTGTTTTGATTCTCTGTGAGTAAAGTTCTTGTCAAGCAGCTACTAGGTTGCTGCCAATCCTGTTATCGAAGGAATTTATTGTCTGCAAGTTTTATTTAACTCCTGGCTGACTGTTTGTGTGCGTGTGTGCGACGGGGACAGAACAATAAGTATCGTCCTGCTTTTATTTGATCCATGTTCTGGAACCTTCTGTGAGCCAAACTCTAGGGCCTCAATCCCTTGAACCAGCCAATCTTGCTGGATCTGAGCAGCTCAGCCATTGGTGGGCTGTCCCATCCATCTGTGGACATCCTGGAAGCTCAACTAATCACTGCCAGAGGGAATCTTATGCCCTAGAGCAGTGATGGCTAACCTTTTTGCCGTCGCGTGCCAAAAGCGGGGGGAGTGCAGGGGGTCGTGCACGTGTGTGCCCACGCCCATAATTCAATGCGCCCTGCCCTCCTGTGCATGCATGCACAAACTTCCTTGCGCTCCCCCCCGCTTTTGGCATGTGATGGCACATTGGGCCCGGTAGGCCCATTTTTCACTCTCCCCAGGCTCCAGAGGCTTTCTTGGGAGCCTGGGGAGGGCGAAAACGGCTTTCTCCACCCCCCAGAGGGCCTCCGGAGGCAGGAAATGGCCCGTTTCCCAACTTCATGTCCCACTGGAAGTCGACACACGGGTCGTTTCCTGTCTCCGGAGGATCTCCGAGGTGGTGGGAAAGGCTGTTTTCGCCCTCCCCAGGCTCCTACAAAGGCTCTGGAGCCTGGGAGAGCAAAAAACGGGCCTTCCCCACCTCCCAGAGGCTAGGAACAGCCTGTTTCCCGACTTCCGGTGGGCCCGGAAGGTCCGAAAATCAACTGGCCAGCACATGCATGCGCGCCAGAGCTGAGCTTGGGCAACGCTCACGTGCCCACTGATATGGCTCCGCGTGCCACCTATGCCATGCGTGCCATAGGTTCGCCATCACGGCCCTAGAGTAGGGCTTCTCAACCGTGGCAGCTTGAAGAGGTGTGGACTTCAATTCCCAGAATTCAGCAAAGCTGGCTGGGGAATGCTGGGGGTTGAAGTCCACACATCTTCAAGCTGCCACAGTTGAGGAACACTGTCCTACCTAGAGAGTCCATGTCTTACAGTGAAGAACTTCAATATGGTTTGTCACATCTCAAAGATTCAAGGCATGGAATGATTTAATTTGTCTTCATAATAACTATATGGAATAGTACAGGTAGTCCTTGACTTACGACCACAATTGAGCAATTTCTGTTGCTAAGCGAGGCGGTTAAGTGAGTTTTACCCCATTTCACAACCTTTCTTCCCTTAGTTGTTAAGTGAATCACTGCAATTGTTAAGCTTGTAACACAGTTGGTAAGTGCATCCCCCATGGTCAAAATTCAGGCGCTTGACAACTGGTTCCTATTTATGACGGTTGCAATGTCCGCTTTTTGCGACCTTCTGACAAGCAGTCAATTGGGGAAAGCCAGATTCACTTAACAACCAGCTCCAGGAAATAAAACCTGAGCCGCGGTGGAACAGTAGTTAGAATCAACTGCAGCAATTCACTTAACAACTGAAGCAAGAAAGGTCGTAAAATGGGACAAAACTCACTTAACAAATGTCTCGACAACAGAAATGTTGGGCTCAATTGTGGTTATAACTTGAGGACTGCCTGTATTTAGTGCCTTGATAATAAACCAGACCTGAAATATTGCATCCAGTTTTGGTCGCTGTGATATAAAAACGACGCTGAGACTCTAGAACAGGGATGTGAAACACAAGGCCCGCAGGCTTCATCCGGCCCACAATGTGCTCAGAGCCGGACCGTGGACACGTCCTGGAAAATGTAAGGGGCTGGCCAGCGTGGTTTCAGCCCGGTCTACCCAGTGCAAAGAGGAAACATTGGGCCAGGGTGGCTTCAGCCCGGTCTACCCAATGCAAAGAGGAAACATGCCAACAGTTTGGGGAGTGTCGTCAAGCTGGCCATGTCGACCCAGTTGGCCACACCCAACCGGCCCTCCGAGGTCAACCACAGCCTTGATGCGGCCCTCAATGAAATTGAGTTTGACACCCCAGTGTCAGCTCCAGCGCGCTGTTGGCATGGAGCTGCCATTCTTGGTGGGAGGAACGTACAAACCTTGTTTCAGCCCAGCATCTGCTTTGTCGAGCCTTTCAGGAACTGACATCATCATGGCCATCCAGAAATAACAAGTGGATTAACTGTTTATATGCTGGTTGTAAATACTCAAGAATTAAATATAAGCCAACTTCCGGGTCACATGGGAGGGAGCAGCGCGCGTGATTGGGTGGGTGGTGATAACTAATGGATAAATGGTGGTGGGAAGCACAGGGCAGTAGCCCTAACAAGATTTTCATGTGCGATTGTCAGTGAGTGCCAAGAAGTGATTAAACTAAGGTAGCAGCCATCCAGGTTTGTCTCCTGTTATTTCCTTCTGTTTGGAACCTGACACCCAGCTCTAGAAAGATCCAAGCTGGACTTGGCAACTCATCACAATTTAGAGGCGCAATACGCAGGCTTAAGACGGAACTTTACCGTAAGTCTCCGTCGTGATTCGGCGCTGAGCGTAAGTAGCCAGCCCTTCGCTCAACCACATCTCTTCCCAAGTGGCGTTGGTGACGGCATTGCCAAACCAGCTGTGGGCTACTTCGTGGATGATGTCGATGATGAGAAACTCATCGCTCTCCAAGATGGATGAAATTACGAAGGTCAAACATGGGTTCTCCATGGCGACGATGGGGAACGAAGGAGGGAGGAAAACAATGTCGTACCTAGAAGCCAGAGGAGGGACGGAGAAACCGGATCAATCTGCGAATCTTGAAGCCATAATTCTCAAAGCAGACCAACAGACATAAAAATAAATAAATAAAATTCCCCATAATTTACAAGGAGCCCTCATCTCATTGCAAAAGTGCCTTTTGCCCAATTTTACTAGCTTTTTTGCCTCGCTTGTTAAATGAACACTGCAGTTGTTAAATTAGTAACACCGTTTTTGTGTGTGTTGAATTTATGTTTTGCCGATGAAGAAATAAAGGAAGACTAGTATAGATCTATTTCAAGCTATTTAGCTCTCATTCAGCTAGCCATACTTTATTTCTTTATAAAATTTCCTTTATTTCTTTGTCGGTCAAACATAAATTCAACAAAAAAAAATAAGTTTTTCGCAAGCGACTGCCTGCGAAGGTTCCTGGATTGCGGCTGAAAGGCGAAAACGGAAGCAGTACGCTCCGTCCTGCATTTGGGTGGACCAGGTTGCCCTGACAAGAAAAAAAACCCACTTAGTAACACGGTTGTTAAGTGAATCTGGCTTCCCCATTGACTTTGCTTGTCAGAAGGTCGCAAAGGGTGATCACATGACCCCGGGACACTGCAACCGTCATAAATATGAGTCAGTGGCCAAGCATCTGAATTTTGATCACATGACCAAATGTGCAACTTTGCTCCTGTTTGCAAGAGGATGCAAACCGTCAAATCTGTGAAAAGCTGTCATAAGTCACTTTTTTTTCAGTGCCATTGTAACTTCGAACGGTCACTAAGTGGATGGCTAAAAGTGGAGGACTACCTGTATTAAAAATTGTCATGAAAGAAAAAAAGGGTTTAAAAAATCAGGGCTGGAGGTTAAATGTAATTGGAGAGCAATTGCTGCATGTGAAGAATCTCTCATGATCCAATGGAACCTGCCTCTCCTCTATATCCTGTTAGTAATCCTAACCAAGTAACTTAAGATGAAAGGAAGAAACAGGTTTGGCGGCTAAATGTGAAATATGATTGTCCCAAAGGTGCTTTTTTCAAGAGGCAACTGGATTTTCTGGTTTTTCTTTTGAAGACGTTTCGCTCCTCATCCAAGAAGCTTCTTCAGCTCTGACTGGATGGTGGGGAATGGAAGGATTTATACTCCTTGCAGACAGTTGGTCATTTGCATCCTTTTAGAGAGCGCTTGAGGCCACTTGGAGGTTAATCTGTGTCCTCAGGGTCACCAGAGTGGTGGAAATGGGTGTGGAGCCTTCTTGGAACTCACCATCCCGTCAGAGCTGAAGAAGCTTCTTGGATGAGAAGCGAAATGTCTTCAAAGAAAGAACGTTTAATTTTATGGCTGCAGTTGCCGTTTGCAGTGATCTTGGAGCCCAAGAAAATAAAAGCTGCTTCCATTTCTTCCCCTTCAATTTGCCAGGAAGTGATGGGGCCAGATGCCATGAACTTTTTATGCACACTCTACTAAATGCAGAAAACATTTCTGCAAAAAACCTCGTTATTATCTATATTCTTAGGCATGCATGAATACTCATGAATCTACGGGTAAATATATATAAAGAAACATTCTGTCTCCAGCCTCTCACCACGATGATACCAAGAGAGCAAAATGTGTATCGTCACATCACAACACAAGCTCTGCCTTTTTCAACCTGCGTTGGGAGTTGCATCCTGTGGAACGTTAGCCCCCACCCTTCCTCCTAGAAAAAGGAAATATTTTTAGGAAATATTAAAAAGGCAGAATATTTCCCCTTAAAGAGAAATAGGGACACAGAAACTCAGACCCCAGCAGATATTTTGGTGCCAGCTTATCTACAAGACAAAAGACCTTCAGCTCCAGGGTGATAGGATTAGCCCTCACTCAAGATCCAAACCAAGACAAAGCCATTAAGCCATAATGCACAGCCTTGGTGGCGCAGCAGACTAAAGTGCTGTTAAGTAGCACTTAGCTGCCTGCAATTACTGCGAGTTCAAATCTCACCAGGCTCAAGGTTGACTCAGCCATCCATCCTTCTGAGGTAGGTAAAATGAGGACCCGGATTGTGGGGGCAATAAGCTGACTTTGTATAAAAAAAGAACACCGCTTAGGGGGGCCCGAAAGCCCTACTAAGCAGGTATATACAAAAGTGTGACGGCTATTGCTTAACGCATTGTAAGCCGCCCTAAGTCTCCGGAGAAGGTCGGCATATAAATCGAACCAATTAAATGAATGAATGAATGAATGAATGAATGAATGAATGAATGAATGAATGAATAATAGGAATTGCTCAAAGCCCTTTCATTACATCACCCAGCAAGATTCAACCAAGCCTGGGACTCAAGACAACCTACAAAGTTACCCCTGCATGGCCCCCATGGGAGTCTGACAACCAATCAGAATACATTTCTTTCACAGGAAGAGGAAGTAAGTTCAAAGCCCAAGAGAGGGTATAAATATATCTCACTCTCTCTCTCTCACCCACGTGCTCGATTGCCCAGGACTTCAAACCATGTGGTCCTGTCCACCATTAAACCATCTTTCCAATCAGCCTCCATGTTTCCAATGTCTTTCTTCCCACTTGGAACTGAACCCAGATGGACATTTCTTCCAACAACGCAAACAAAGAAGGGACAGAATTGCCACTCCCGATGTGCATTCCGTTCCTTTCGCCCCAGCAGAGACCTATGCATGCTATAATGAGATTACCTGCCCCATATGTAGGGACCGTAGAGGCTCTCTGCAGCGCTGAGCCAGTGCTCCACCCGACCTGAGAGTTTGCCGATGGCTGTTGACAATAGGCATGGCTCGGCCCAGACTTTGCTCCTGTTTGCAAGAAAGGCAGAAAAACAACAGAATTCACACTGGGGCCTAGCACGAATTTGGCATTCCTTGCGGTGGAGGTGCAAATTAACAGTGAGAGGGATCTTGGAGTCCTAGTGGACAACCATTTAAGAATGAGCCAGCCATGTGCAGCAGCTGCCAAAAAAGCCAACACAGTTCTGGGCTGCATCAACAGAAGGATAGAATCAAGATCACGTGAAATGTTAATACCACTTTATAATGCCTTGGTAAAGCCACACTTGAAATACTGCATCCAGTTTTGGTTGCCATGATGTAAAAAAGATGTTGAGACTCTGGAAAGAGTGCAGAGAAGAGCAACAAAGAGGATTAGGGGACTGGAGGCTAAAATATATGAAGATCGGTTGCAGGAACTGGGTATGTCTAGTTTGATGAAAAGAAGGACTAGGGGAGACATGAGAGCAGTCTTCCAATATCTCAGGGGCTGCCCCAAAGAAGAGGAAGTCAAGCTATTCTCCAAAGCACCTGAGCGTAAGGACAAGAAGCAATGTGTGGAAACTAATCAAGGAGAGAAGCAACTTAGAACTAAGGAGAAATTTCCTGGCAGTTAGAACAATTAATCAGTGGAACTACTTGCCTCCCGAGGTTGTGAATGCTCCAACACTGGAAGCTTTTAAGAAGAGATTAGATAACCATTTGTCTGAAGTGGTGTAGGGTTTCCTGCCTAAGCAGGGGGTTGGACTAGAAGACCTCCAAGGTCCCTTCCAACTCTGTTATTCTATTCTATTCTATTCGAACACCTAATTGCATACTTTAAAGAAAGTTCATGAGTGCAATACAGGTAGTCCTCGACTTACAACCGTTCGCCTAGTGACCGTTCGAAGTTACAATGGCACTGAAAAAAGTGACTTTTCACACTTATGTGCAGCATCCCCATGGTTACATTTGGACGCTGGACAACTGACTCACATTTATGATGGTTGCAACGCCCCTCTTGTGATTTTCTGACAAGCTAAGTCAATAGGGAAGCCAGATTCATGGAACCACCGTGTGGCAGGAAAAGTCGTAAAATGGGGCAAAACTCACTTAATGAATGTCTCACTTACAAACATCAATTTTGGCCTCAACTGTGGTCGTAAGTTGAGGACTACCTGTACTTTACAACTGTATTGTTTAGTGATGGCAATTCTGATCCGAATTGCACTTGTAACTCAAGGATTCCCTGTATGGCTTTCCACAAGTTGTTGTGGATTTCCAGTCTCTCCAACAGAGCTGCCAGAAGGCAAGAGCAGCTAAAGCAAAAGGGATGACTTGGGAGTAAGGCCAGGAGATGATTGGCCCCTCCTGTAAGGCTTAAAAGAAAAACAAAGGCACTTGGGCCTTTTGCAGGAAAGCAACATTGCTAACTCTGTTTCCAGTCGGCATCTCCTCTTTGTTTCTGAACTCCGTGGGGCTTTGCCAAGTAAGGCCTTTGGCAGGGTGTCAAAGGAGATAAAGGTTGGTGATTATCCCGAAGGACTTTTGTTGCAACTAATTTGGACTCAGTTGTTACAATAAAATAGGTTTTTTTGGGACTAATTGTGTCTTGTAATAACTCAATAAGCCTGGGTCACACCACCAGCCTTCCATCAACCCTGCTAAATCAGATAAGACTGCCTTACCTAGGACCAACCTCTGCGGCGACAAGATCCCCGGCCACCAGAGCCACCAGGTAAGCGGGAATGGGGTACTCCATGTAGAACTGGTATACCCCCTCTTCTTCCTCATAGGAACTTTGGGTGGCGCTCATTAACACCTGCATACCTGCAGGGGCCTGTTAAAAAAAAGGAAAAGAGAAACAGAATAATAAGAGTTGAAAGGAGGAGCTCTGGTGGCTCAGCAGACTAATTAACATCCACTTACATCTGCTGCCTGCAATTACTGCAAGTTCAAATCTCACCAGGCTCAAGGTTGACTCAGCCTTCCATCCTTTCTAAGGTAGGTAAAATGAGGACCCAGTTTGTGGGGGCAATAAGCTGACTTTGTATAAATATACAAAAGTATGAAGGTTATTGCTTAGCACATTGTAAGCCGCCCTGAGTCTCTGGAGAAGGGCGGCATATAAATAAATAATTTTTTTTTTAAAAAAGCATGATTTGGATCACGCGTCTTAGCAACCTAAATTCTGTCCTGAAGAAAGCACGCTTCTGCATCAGTTGTGCGATGTTCACGATGCTCAAACCCCATGTGCAATCCTAAAATGCATCCCACAGCCTCTCTGGGATCAGAGTCTTCAACGGTGGCATTTGACATTCTGAGGCTGAGTCTTCGGAGAGGGGCGGCATATAAATTTAATTAATTAAATTAAATTAAATTACTGGAAGGAACAAGCTGGCCTGTTCACAGAATGGCCACTATTACAGTAGTGGCCAAAATTGTGGAAACCTTTTGAGAAAAGTGTATTTTTGAAGTTTGAAGGGCTAATAACATCCCTTTTTTTTTTGGAGTTTCAAGATAATCCTATTCCACTGCTGGAATGGCCTGGGACCTTAACCCAATTGAAAATCTATGGAGCCAACTAAGGAAACTTGTTAGTCAGAAGCGACCCAGCAATAAAACCCAGTTAATAGAAGCCATCATTCAATCTTGGTTTCACATGATAACAGCTGCAGAACTCAAAGACTTGGTTCACTCCATGCGAAGATGTTGTAAGGCCGTCATTCATGCTAAAGGTTACCCAACTAAGTATTCACTGACGTGATAATTTTTATATATCTCGTTTTTTCTACGTGCTTCGCTTTTCTTCTATATACTGTACCTGCTATTCTAATAGCAAATCCTTCATAAAAGTTATCGCACGACATTCTTGATTAAATTATCTTTCCCTTGATATATAATTTTATGGTACTACTCCAAAAAAAAGTGGTGGTATTAGCTAGTTTTAGAAAATACACTTTTCCCAGAAGGTTTCCACAATTCTTTTGCCACCAATAGCCTCCCACCGACCAGTCCGTTCTCACAGGGAGGGACTACTCAGGGTACCGTCAGTCAAATTATGCCGACTGACGACTCCCAGGGGGAGGGCCTTCTCTGTGGGGGCTCCAACCCTTTGGAATGAACTGCCCCCGGAGATACGAAATATCCCTGATCTCCGTGCTTTCCGCCGTGCCCTCAAAACCCTGATGTTCCAACAGGCGGGGCTAAACATATGAACATGTGAATATTTTTAAAATGTTATCTAATTTTAGGTTCTATTTCATTGGGCCAAACTGTGTTATAATAATAATTTTAATTAGCAATTTTATGATGTTTGTGTATCTATATTTTTCTTGACTGTACACCGCCTTGAGTCCTACGGGAGAAAGGTGGTATAGAAATATAATAAATAAATAAATAAATTTTGGCCACTACTGTAATCACAAAAGAGCCATTGAATCTGAAAGCATGTGTGAGGAAGGATGCTCTCTACCATGGTCTTTGGTACTCAATGGCTGGGTTTTGCACAGCTTGCTTGGCCAAGTCACGCGTAAAGGCCTTGGACGGAAGTGATGACCAACGAGGGAGATGATTCAGAAAGGGGATTAAGATTTTCATGGAGGGGGAAAATAAACACCTACTACTGGTTGTAAGAGCTTCTGGAATCACAAGCGGAGTTCAAAAGCTGAATTCTGGCAGTTACCGAGCATGAGGTTCAAGTTTGATTCTTCTGAGATTCTGGGGCGAGGAAAATGTCTTACCTTGACGACCGCGGAGTAAGTGCATTTCACAGCCGGCGTGTCAAAACAAGGGAAGAAGGAGCGGTTGCATACCGAATGGCCTTGGGTGAAAACAAATGGCTTAGAGTTGCCGTAGGTGAGCTCAGGATCCAGCCACCAGATCTGACAGAAGGAATAGATAAGGGGAAAAAAAGCAACGACGAATAGATCAAACAGATGGTCTTCGACTTATGGCCACCAGGAAACCCCAAATTTCTGTTGCTAAGTGAGCCACATTTTAACCCCTTTCTTGCCACAGTTGTTAAGTGAATTACTGCAGCAACACAGTTAGTAAAACGGTTGTTAAGTGAATCTGGGCTTCCCCATTGACTCTGTGTGTCAAGACGGTCGCAAAAAGGGGATCAACGTGGCCACGGTACACTGCAACCGTCATAAATAATCTTCTCCCCTTTTTAAATGTAAATTTTAATTTGTTTTAAATTATGGGGTATTTTAAATTCAGCCAAATTATTTAATTCGTTTTTAATTCATTTTAAATTTTTGTATTTATGTGTTTTATCTCGTGGCTGTTCACCACCCTGAGTCCTTCGGGAGAAGGGCGGTATAGAAATTTAGAGAAATTGCTGGCTGGCCTCACCCCTCCCCATCCCGCCCCTTCCAGGAGTTCCTACGTGCCCCATTTTGGCTCCCAAGTAAGTGCAGGGAGGCCTACTAGGCCCAAAATGGGGTGGTGGGGTGGTGGCAGCGTGGGCCCCCGTGGCCAGTTTGTACTCCCAGGAGGCTGCAAGGAGGCCTACTAGGCCCAAAATGGGGCGCGGGGGGAGTGAGGTGCCTCTCTTCCCCCCACTGCCCAATTTTGCTTCCAGGGGGTGCAGGAGGCCAAGTGCTGCCTGTCACACCCCCTGGCCACGCCTACTCTGGCCATGCCTACCCAGCTGTTGTGACTCCAACCCCCAAGGCCGACTTATCGGAGGGAGAAGGCTCCGAACATGAAGGAGAGGAGTTGGCCAGGCCTCCCTCTCCAGGACCCTCTTCTCTGGCAATGCCTCAGATGTCTCCCGTAGGAGAAGAGATTGGCCAGGAGCCAGGTATTTCCTCGCAGTCAGACAGTGACGGAGGTAAGTCTTGGCTGGATCCACGCCAGCGTCGGAGAGACAAGCGCACGCAGCAGAAAAGGAGGCGTGCCAGAGATTAGCTGAGTCACTGGACCACACCCCACAGGGGATAAAAGGGGGTGTGGTGGCCATTCAGGCTCTGTGACGGACAAAACTAACTACTAGCGAGTCACATTGTATCTTTGAAACATTTCAATATGCGGTCTACTTACAAATCATATATATATAATTTGAGGCAACACAGGTTTGGCCTTTTTTTTTTTCTTTTTTCATGCTGTTTTGGTTCCCTTGTCTTTTGGCAAGACCGTTTTTAAAGGTAGTTCTTGACTTATGCCACAATGGAGCCCAAAATTTCCATTGTTAAAACATTGCTAAGTGATTTTAAGAGCCGAGGTGGCACAGTGGTTAGAGTGCAGTACTGCAGCTACTTCAGCTGACTGCTAGTTCAGCAGATCAGCGGATCAAATCTCACCGGCTCAAGGTTGACTCAGCCTTCCATCCTTCCGAGGTGGGTAGAATGAGGACCCAGATTGTTGGGGGGCAATATGCTATTTAGTATACTGTCTTTGGTGTAAGCCGCCCAGCGCCTTCGGAGAGTGGGCGGCATAGAAATATGAATAATAATAAATAATAATAATATAGACAGACAGACAGACAGACAGACAGACAGATAGATATGGGACTTTATTATCGTATTTTTCGGAGTATAAGATACACTTTCCCCCCCACACATACACAAAAATGGGTGAAAATTTCTTATAGACTGAATACGGGCCTGTTTTTGGGCTCCCAAACCCTCTGTGCATCGCGTTTTCGCCCTCCCCTGCCCCCAGAAGCACTCTGCAGTGCTCCACACGTCCCCTTTTCACCAAAACCGGGCCCATTTTTGCCAAAAACAGGCATGTTTTTGGGCTCCCGAATCCTCCGCGTGTTGCGTTTTCGTCCTCCCCGGCCCCCAGAAGCACTCTGTAGCAGGGGTGAAATGCTCCCGGTTCGGACCAGATCAGGCAATCCGATAGCGATTGTGGCAGGTAGTTCGGAGAACTGGTAGCGATGGCGGCGTGAGGCTCCGCTCATCCGCCCGGGTGTCGTTACTTCCTGTTTTAAAAGGTTAAAAAAAAGGCTCTGACGATCGCGTGCCACAGCTGTGATCATCAAGGGCCTTTTTTTAACCTTTTAAAAGCATTTTTTTACAACCCATTCGCCCAAATAGGTTGTAAAAATATACTCTAAAAAGTAAAAGAAAAAGTTGGCCACGCCCACCATTCACATTAACCCACCACCAAGCCACGCCCACAGAACCGATAGTAATAGATTTTACATTTCACCACTGCTCTGCAGGCCAAAAACGGACCCCTTTTTGGTAAAAACGGGATGTGCGCCAGGGGATGTGCGCCTGGGGGCCGGGGAGGGCGAAAACACGACGCGCGGAAGCCAAAAACTTTTTTCCCCTTGTTTTCCTCCTGTAAATCTATGTGCGTCTTATAGTCCAAAAAATATGGTAATTTTATAGCTAGATCAAACAGCAATTTAATTTAATTTAATTTAATTTAATTTAATTTAATTTAATTTAATTTAATTTAATTTAATTTAATTTAATTTTAATTTAATTTAATTTAATTTAATTTAATTTAATTTAATTTAATTTAATTTATTCAATTTATATGCCACCCCTCTCCGAAGAGTCAGGCGGCTCACAATAATTTTAAAAAATCATTATAAAAACATTTAAGAATTAAAAACATTATGCAAGCGCACCTCCCTGCCTCAGTTTAAAGACCCTCTCTAAAACTAACCTCCAAATATATTCTTTGTATTGGAAAGTCCTGCCTGAAGGAGATAATATAGACCGGTGGCTGGCTGGGGAATTCTGGGAATTGAAGTCCACCCATCTGAAAGCTGACAACCTAAAGAAACACGGATACAGATGCATTAAAAATAGAATTGCATGGAACAATATGCCACCACCTTTAAAATATGCCACCTCTGGCCAGCCTCTTTGATCTCCTAGACAAGAGAGAATAGTAAGTCTGGCCAAGGCTGGCGTATTTTAAAACGGTGGCATGCCGTTCCATGAAATTCTATTTTTAATGCACCTATATAAACTACTTCAAACAGGATGGATAAAATGCCATCGCCTAACAGAGGACATGACAGTGAATGCCAAATAATAGTCCATCCCAAATGGAAAGTGACCATCACACAGCCATCCGTTCGTCTGTGTAAAAGCTGTCTGAATCGGAGCACATTTATTCATTAAATTATGATTGGTGTTATTAATTCAAATTATGTACTGCCCCGATTTTCAGGGACACCTAATGCTTCACTAAAACAAGGGATGTTGTTTTCTTTTGCATTGAATTACCATATTTTTTGGAGTATAAGACGCACCTTTTTCCCCCCTAAAAGGGGGTAAAAATTTAGGTGTGTCTTATACACCAAATGTGTATTTGGTGTACCCACTGGCCCCCACCCTTTGGCCTCTGCCTCCTTGCAAGCAAACAGCAAGAAAAAGCAGCTCCTTTCAGCTTCAGCACAGCCTAATTAGCACAAGTTGATTGGATCGGCCTCCCGACTCTCAGTTGATTTGCTCTCAGCCGTTTTGCGCAGGGCTCTGCTGCTTGCTGCAAGGAGGTAAATTGCTGGAGCAGATTTTTTTTCCTTGTGCTAATCAAGCTATGCTGAAAACGAAAATGAAAGTAAAGCAGGCTGTTTGCTGTACGGAGGCAAAATTGCTCAGAGGCAGAGGGAGATTGCTTTTTCTTCTTTTCCTCACCCAAAAAGGTAGGTGCGTCTTATACTCCGGTGCGTCTTATACTCCGAAAAATACGGTATATCTCAACAGGCAAATGTTACACATAGCCACAACATTTTACCTAATTGAAGGAGGATTTTACTCCTATGCCTACATGCAATCAAATATTAGTGAGAAAGTATCTTAGACGGAGAAGCAACTTACAGCAACCGAATACAGGCAATCCTTGATTTACAGCCATTTGTTTAATGACCGGTCGAAGTTAACAACAGCACTGAAAAAAGTGGCTTATGACCGTTTTTTCACACAACTGGTGCAGCATCCCCAAGGTCATGTGATCAAAATTCAGATGCTTGGCTCATATTTATGACGGTTCACAGTGTCCCGGGGCCACGTCATCCCCTTTTACCACCTTCTGACAAGCAGTCAATAGGAGGGGTGGGAAGCCAGAGTCACTTTACAGCCGTGTTACTAATTTAATGACTGCAGGGATTCACTTAACAACGGTGGTAAAGAAGGTCACAAAATGAGGCCAAATTTACTGAACAAATTGTCTTGTTCAATGGGGAAGCCAGATTCTCCTAACAACCATGTTACTAACTGGACAACTGCAGTGGTTCACTTAACAACCGCGGCAAGAAAGGTCGTAACATGGATTGGAGCTCACTTAACTCTCTTGCGTAGTAACGGGAATTTTGGGCTCAATTGTGGTCGTAAGTCGAGGACTACCTGTGTTCACTCCCTGAGTTATGGGGGAAAAAATGCAATGATGGAAAAGCTTTCTCCAAATAACTTCCATCAGTTGTTCCATCTGTTGTTCCAAGGATCAGATGCTCAGCCAATACCAAAATAATTTATCTGAAGAAACAAGAATATTTATATCTATCCATAAAACCATCTGGAAGAATGGGAAATTGAGAAGAAAGACTGGCCAGACATTGCTGACAAAACAGAATTGAACTACAGTAGTGGCCAAAATTGTGGAAACCTTCTGGGAAAAGTGTATTTTCTAAAACTAGCTAATAACACCACTTTTTTTTTTTTTTTAGAGTAGTACCATAAAATTATATATCAATGGAAAGATAATTTAATCAAGAATGTAATGCAATAACTTTCATGAAGGATTTTCTATTAGAATAGCAGATCCAATATAAAGAAGAAAAGTGAAACGTAGAAAAAACAAGATATACAGAAATTATCCCCATAGAAAAAACGGGATATACAAAAATTATCACCACGTCAGTTAATACTTAGCTGAGTAACCTTTAGCATGAATTATGGCCTTACAACGTCTTCCCATGGAGTGAACCAAATCTTTTAGTTTTGCAGCTGTTCTAATGTGAAACCAAGGTTGAATGATGGCTTCTATTAACTGGGGTTTATTGCTGGGTCGCTTCTGACTAACAAGTTTCCTTAGTCGGCTCCATAGATTTTCAATTGCGTTAAGGTCCCAGGCCATTCCAGCAGTGGAATAGGATTTTCTTGAAACTCCAAAAAAAAAGTGGTGTTTTTAGCCATCAAACCTCAATAATACACTTTTCCCAAAAGGTTTCCACAATTTTGGCCACTACTGTATAGTGAAATTCTCTGGGGAAAAAGAATACCGTGTTTCCCTGAAAATAAGACCCTGTCTTATATTTTTTTGAACCCTGAAATAAGCGCTTGGCCTTATTGCCATGCGCTCAAAAGCCCGATTGGGCTTATTATCAGGGGAGGTCTTATTTTGGGGGAAACAGGGTAGCAATATGTAGAGAATAATTTTTGTTCTTCCCTAAATACAATATATTTCTCCCTGCTGAAATACAGGCAATTCTCAACTTACAACTATACATTAAGTGACTGCTCGAAGTTACGACAGCAGTGAAAAAGAGACCTATGATCATTTGTCACACTTACGACTTACTGCAGCGTCCGTGTGGTCATGTGATCAAAATTCAGACCCTTGGCAACTGGCTCATATTTATGACGGTTGCCATATCCCGGGGTCATGTGATCCCCTTTTGCAACTTTCTAATAACCATGTTACTAAATTAACTGCAGTGATTCAGGTAAGAAAAGAGCCTTGGTGGTGCAGCGGACTAAAGTGCTGTTAAGTAGCACTTAGCTGCCAGCTGCCTGCAATTACTGCGAGTTCAAATCTCACCATGCTCAAGGTTGACTCAGCCATCCATCCTTTCGAGGTAAGTAAAATGAGGACCCGGATTGTGGGGGCAATAATCTGACTTTGTATAAAAAAAGGAACACCGTTTAGGGGGGCCCGAAAGCCCTACTAAGCAGGTATATACAAAAGTATGAAGGCTATTGCTTAACGCATTGTAAGCCACTCTTAAGTCTCCGGAGAAGGGCGGTATATAAATTGAACCAATAAATAAATGTGATAAGAAAGGTCACAAAATGGGGCAAAACTCACTTAATGTCTCGCTTAGCAACAGAAATTTTGGGCTCAAATGTGGTCGTAAATCGAGGACTACCCTTGCCCCTCTCAGCCCAGTCTTCCATTCTGTCCAGTTTGCAATTTGGTTTTGACATCCCTGGATGTGGGCCAAATATTTTTTTTTCCCTCCTATTGTGTGTTTTCTGACCTTTATACAAAAGGAAGTATTTACCCTTTTCTCCCTTGATAACCAAGTTTGCTTAGGGTGAGAGAATTCATAAAGAACTTTTTGCAAATCCAAGTCAATTTTGCTAAGTCATCCCGGCCACTTTTGAAAGAACTCTGAGAAGTTTTCTTTAAATAAATAAAAAAAATATTATTAAATATTAGAACACTGCTATCATGTGTCCCCTAGTCCTTAACAGAATTAACGGAGATGCAAGGGACCTTGGAGGTCTTCTAGTCCAACTTCCTACACAAGAATGAGACCCTATATGCCATATTCCAGACAAAATGGCTGTCCAATCTCTTCTTAAAAGCTTCCAGTGTTGGAGCACCCACAACTTCTGGAGGCCAAGTCTTTCCACTGGTTAATTGTTCTCACTGCCAGGAAATTCCTCCTTAGTTCTAGGTTGCTTCTCTCCTTGATTAGTTTCCATCCATTGCTTCATGTCCTACCTTCAAGTGCTCTGGAAAATAGGTTAACCCCTTCATCTTTGTGGCAGCCTCTCAAATATTGGAACGCTGCCATCATGTCCCCCCTAGTCCTTAACAGGATATCAAAATAACCAAGTTGGCAGGGACATTCTCACTTGCTTGGGAAGTGGTCTTCTAGTTCAACCCCCGTGCTCAAAGCAGGAGCCCCTTATAGCAGGGGTCACCAACCTTTCGGACCTCAAGGACCGCTAAATTCATAATTTTACATCCCGAGGACCGCTAATATGAATTTTTAAAAAGAAATCGTATTTAGTGCAATATAAAAAATGCAAATAATTTTTCTGCGGACCGCCAAAATTTTCTCGCGGAGCACCAGTGGTGACCGCTGCCCTATAGCATTTCAGACAAATGCTTGTCCAACCTCTTCTTAAAAACCTCCAATGTTGGAGCACCACAATTTGGAGGCAATATATATATATATTGCCTCCAAATTTATATATATAAATCTGGAGGCAGAAAGAAAAAGTAGAAAGAAAAAAGTAAGAATATGAATATGTATGTATGTATGTATGTATGTATGTATGTATGTATGTATGTATATAAAAATAGTCCTCACTGTTAGGAAATTTGTCCTTAGTTCTAGGTTGCTTCTCTCCTTGATTCATTGCTTCTTGTCCTGCCTTCAGGTGCTTTGGGGAATAAGTTGATCCTCTTTTCTTTGTGGCAGCCCCCCCAAATATTACAACACTGCTATCACATCCTGGACATAAATTGTTTCAACTCCTACCCTCAAAACGAAGCTATAGGGCACTGCACACCAGAACAACTAGACACAAGGACAATTTTTCCCTCCGAATGCCATCACTCTGCTAAACAAATTCCCTCAACACTGTCAAACTATTTACTAAGTCTGCACTACTATTAATCTTCTCATCGTTCCCACTACCCATCTCCTTCCACTTATGAAGGTATGACTATAATTTTGTTGCTTGTATCCTTACGATTTATATTGATATTGTTTCCTGATTGCTAATTTGTACCCTATGACTATCATTAAGTGTTGTACCTTATGATTCTTGATGAACATATCTTTTCTTTTATGAGAGCATATGCACCAAAGACAATTTCCTTGTGTCCAATCACACTTGGCCAATAAAAAAAACACTATTCTATTCTATTCAAAACGAGGCTATAGGGAACTGCATACCAGAACAACTAGACACAAGGACAGTTTTTTCCCCTCCCCCAGAATGCCATCACTTTGCTTAACAACTAATTCCCAAAACACTATCAAACAATTTACTAAGACCGTATTACTATTATTATTCTCTTCCTTACTAGTATCTATCTCTTCCCACTTATGACTATAACCATGTTGCTGGTATTGTTTTTACTTGTTTCCTAGTACGATTTGATAGCTTATTAGTAACCTATGACTATCACTAAGTGTTGTATCTTTTTATTCTTGATGAATAGATTTGTTTTTTTTTCCCTTTATGTACACGAGAGCATTTACACCTAAGACAAATTCCTTCCTGTGTCCAATCACAGTTGGCCAATAAAACATTCTATTCTATTCTATTCTATTCTATTCTATTCTATTCTATTCTATTCTATTCTATTCTATTCTATTCTATTCTATTCTATTCCTATTCCTATTCCTATTCCATTCCATATTTTCTATTCTATTCTATTCCATATTTTCTATTCTATTCTATTCCATTCTATTCCTATTCCATATTTTCTATTTCTATTCTATTCTATTCTTCTATTCTATTCTATTCTATTCTATTCTGTTCTATTCTATTCTATTCTTCTATTCTATTCTATTCCTATTTCTATTCCTATTCCATTCCATATTTTCTATTCTATTCTATTCCATATTTTCTATTCTATTCTATTCTATTCTATTCTATTCTATTCTACTCTATTCTATTCTACTCTATTATATTCTACTCTATTATATTCGATTCCTATTCCATATTTTCTATTTCTATTCTATTCTATTCTATTCTATTCTATTCTATTCTATTCTATTCTTCTATTCTATTCTATTCCTATTTCTATTCCTATTCTATTCCATATTTTCTATTCTATTCCATATTTTCTATTCTATTTCTATTTCTATTCTATGCATGACAACCCCTGGTCCTCCTTTTTAAAGCATTGATTGACCTGCCTTCGGGGAGCCTTTCAAGGGGTTTTGAGGACCCCCTGAACCTCTCTTTATCCTTGAAAGGCCCCGCTCGGTCCTCGGCTGAAACCAGCCCCCCCCCCGGGCCTCCCCACTTACCGCGGGGGCATCCACGGTGGTGTAGCGGACGATGATCTGGAAGGGCCGCTGCGGCTCCAGCGAAGCCGGCAGGGAGATGCTGAGCGCCGAGCCGTAGTCGGTGAAGGGATCCACGCGGAAGAAAAGCGGGCAGGGCGCCGAGCGAGGGAAGGCGGGCAAGGGCGGCGCGGGAACCTCGGCGCTCTCCAGCGGGGCGCAGGCCCAAGGCCCGGCCGGCGGAGGCTCGCCCCACGACGGGGGGACGTCCCGTAGAGACTCCAAACCCGGCCGGTCCCCTTCGGGCGGCGCCTGCCCGAAGGCCGAAAGTGCGCTGGCGGTGCTGAGCGGGCAGTGCGGGTGCGGGTGGCCCGCGGGAGCCGACGACGACGACGGGCGGGCGGGCGGCGGCGGAAGAAGAAAAGCAGGCCGGCCCGGCTCGCCTTCCGCGCCGCTCGAGAAGACGAAGCCGCAGCGGGTCTCGCCGGCCGGGCAGGCCCGGAAAGCCACCGAGGCCACCCGCACGGCCGGGTGCGTGTCCAAAACCAGGACGCGAGGTCGGCGAGGCCGCCGCTCGTCCTCGGACGCCTCAGGTTGGGCCCCGCCGGGCGTCGGCCGGGCGCACAGCTCCAGCACCAGGCAGCCGGCCAGGGCGCGGGCTTCGGGCCGCAGGTCCAGCCCGAGGCGGAGGTGCCTGAGGCGGAAAAGCGAGGCGCTGGAGGCCGAGGCCACGTCCGGGAGGGTCTCGGGGGCCGCCATGGGGCCTAAGTAAAATCCATGGGCGGGCGCGGGAGGCCCGGCGGCGGCGGCGGCCGACGACGACTCACCCAGGCCGCCCGGGAAGCCGCTCGCCGGCGCCAGGAAGAGGCGAGGCCCAGCCGGCCTGCCCCGAGCGGGGCGCGCTGCGTGCGGCAGAAGGAGAAGGAGGAGGAGGAGGCGCTGGGCGGCGCCCGAGAGCGGCGCGTGGAGGCCCGAGCGGCCTTTCGACGCCCGCCTTGGCCGCCCGTTGGGCGGGAGCCTCGAGCTGGGCCCAGCCCGGGGCTTTTATTGATCCCGTCGCTCCCCCTGACCGGAGTTCAGCCTCGGGATGGCAGAGAGACGGGGAAGAAGAGCCAGCGCATCGTGATGGGGAGGCCTTGAGGGGATCCTCCCATGAGGTGGATCCACCTCCTTGGATCTGGCCAGGGGATCTCCCTCGGGAGGGATCGTGTGGTCCGCAGAAGCAGGGATCAACTGGTTTGTTTGTTTGTTTATTTATTTATTTCTATACCGCCTTTCTCCCCTAGGACTCAAGGCGGTGTACAGTCAAGAAAAATATAGATACACAAGCATCATAAAATTGCTAATTGAAATTATTATTATAACATAGTTTTGACCCAATTAAATAGAACCTAAAATTAGATAACTGGTTTGCTAGGTGTTTGGAAGGGGCCTTGGAGGTCTTCTAGTCCAACCTTGGCAACTTTTAAGACTTGTGGACTTCAACTCCCAGAGTTCCTCAGCCAGCAAAGCTGGCTGAGGAACTCTGGGAGTTGAAGTCCACAAGTCTTAAAAGTTGCCAAGGTTAGAGACCCCAAGTTGACAAGGTTGGAGACCCCTATTCTAGTCCAACCCACCCTGCTCAGGCAGGACACCCTGTACAGGTAGTCCTCGACTGACAACAGTTCCCTTTAGTGACCAAAGTTACACTGAAAAAAAGGGATGTGACCCTTTTCCACACTTAACGACCGTGGCAGGATCCCCGCCGTCGTGCGATTCACATTGGGATGCTCGACAACCGACTCTCACATTTATTTATTTATTTATTTATTTATTTATTACATGTATTTATATGCCGCCATTCTCCCGAAGGGCTCAGGGCGGAGAACACAAGTTAAGAAACAAGTACAGTAAAATCCCATTTTAAACCAAATAACTAATTAATAGTAAACAATAAAACCCGGAATCAGAGTCAGATTTATGACAGTTTTCGGGGTTCCCCAACACCACCCACACCGGGGGTCCTGTGATCATCACCTTTTGCGACCTTCCGACCAGCAGAAAAATCGATGGGGGAAAAGCAGATTCGCTTAACAACCAAGTGTGACTTAAGGCAGTGATGGCTAGAGCCTTGGTGGCGCAGCAGACTAAAGCGCTGTTAAGTTAACACCAGCTGCCTGCAATTACTGCGAGTTCAAATCTCACCAGGCTCAAGGTTGGCTCAGCCTTTTCCATCCTTCCGAGGGAGGTAAAATGAGGACCCGGATTGTGGGGGCAATAAGATGACTTTGTATAAAAAAAGAACACCACTTAGGGGGGCCCCCGAAAGCCCTACTAAGCAGGTATATACAAAACGTATGAAGGCTATTGCTTAACGCATTGTAAGCCGCCCTGAGTCTCTGGAGAAGGGTGGCATATAAATCGAACCAATAAATAAATAACCTTTTCTGGACTGAGTGCCCAAAGCACGCGTGCGCGCAAATGCACACTCAACCCCCCAAAATGCAATGCACACAAGGCCCCCATGCATACGCCCCGCCCCCAGGCGCATGCACATGTGGGGACCCCCGCATGTGCCCCGCCCCTGCCCCTTGCTCGTGCATACCCCTTGCGTGTCCTCCACCCCCATGCATGCGTGGCAGAGACCTGAAGACCAGCTGGCCAGTGGGAGGTAACCGTGTATGTGCAGTGGAACTGAACTGGGGCGACGGCTTGCGTGCCATCAGAGAGGGCGCTGCGTGACACCTCTGGCATGCGTGCCATAGGTTCGCCATCACGGGACTAAGATTCACTTAACAAATTGTGTTTGAGAAAAAATCGTAAAACGGGGGTTTTAATTTCTCGGCCACTTAAATGATGGGCTCGGTTGTGGTTGTTAGTTGAGGATTTCCGGTACCATCTCAAATTTGGACATTCTCTCCTTAAAAAAAAAAATTATGTTTTGAAGACAGGCCACGAACATGATGGAATGAATCCCATTGTGGTGCTTCTCAACCTTGGGAAGCTCAAGAATTCCCCAAGCATTGAAGTCTAGACAAGATGTCTCCCAACTTTCAACAGTTCATTTAGTGATCTATGCACCTACAGCGGCACTGAAAAAAATGACTTGTGACTGTTTTTCATACTTATGACCATTGTAGCATCCCCATGGTCCCAGGGTGGTCATGTGATCGGACTGTTCTTTGGAAGGACAGATCCTGAAACTGAAGCGCAAATATTGTGGCCACCAAATGAGAAGAGGGAGCTCCTTGGAAAGGATCCTGATGTTGGAAAAGACAGAAGGCAGAAGGAGAAGGGGGCGGCAGAGGATGGGATGTTTTTAAGAGCCTCGGTGGTGCAGCGGACTAAGTGCTGTTAAGTGCTAGCACTTAGCTGCCTGCAATTAGTGCGAGTTCAAATCTCACCAGGCTCAAGATTTGACTCAGCTTTCCATCCTTTCGAGGTAGGTAAATTGAGGACCCGGATTGTGGGGGCAATAAACCAGCTTTGTATTGAACAACACTGCTTGGGGGGGGGGGGGCGAAAGCCCTAATAAGCAGGTATATACATAAAAGTATGCAGGCTATTGCTATAATGCATTGTAAGCCGCCCTGAGTCTACGGAGAAGGGCGGCATATCAATTGGACTAATAAATAAATAATAATAATAAAATAAATAAATAAATGGTGTCATCGGTGGAATGAACGTGAATTTGGGCAAACACTGGGGGACAGTGGAGGACATGGGGGACCCTGGAGTGCTATGGTCCATGGGATTTCGAAGAGTCAGACTGAACAACAACAGTATAAGAAACTCCATGCATCATGTACATTTTCTAATCCATTGTAATTTAAATAAATACTTTTGCATGTAGAAAACATAAGCACCACCTTTACATACATACATACACATACATACATACATACATACATACATATATGGAAGGTACCTTGGAGGTCTTCTAGTCCATCCCCATGCTCAAGCAGGAGACCCTATACCCATGATGGCGAACCTATGGCATGCATGCCACAGATGGCACTTGGAGGCATATTGGTGGACATGTGAGCTCAGCTCCACCAGCTGATTTTCGGGCCATCTGGGCCCACCGGAAGTAGGGAAACAGGCTGTTTCCTGCCTCCGGAGGGCCTGGGGGATGGGTGGGGAAGGCCCATATTTCACTTTCCCCAGGCTGGAGAGCCTTTCTAGGAGCCTGGGGAGGGCACCTTCCCCAGCCCCCTGGAAGCCCTCCAGAGGCCAGAAATGGCCCATTTGCCGGGAGAGCAAAAAATGGACCTACTGGGCCCACCGTGCCATCACATGCCAAAAGCAGGGTGCGGGGGGGGGGGTGTCACGTGCACATGCACAGGGGGCAGGGCACATGGAATTATGTGTGTGGGCACACGCGTGCGCAACCCCCCCTCCCCCGTGTTCCCCTTGCTTTTGGCACGTGATGGCAAAAAGCTTATAGCCATCACTGCCCTATACCATTTCAGAGAAGTGGCTGGCCAGTCTTTTCTTAAAAACCTCCAGTGATGAAGCACCTACAACTTCTGAAGGCAACTTCCGTTCCACTGGTCAATCGTTCTCACTGTTCTGAAGTTTCTCCTTAATTCCAGTTTGGTTTTCTCCTTGATTAGTTTCCATCCGTTGCTTCTTGTCCTGCTTTTAGGTGCTTTGGAGAAAAGGTTGACACCCCCCCCTCCTTTGTGGCAGCCTCTCAAATACTGAAATACTGTTGTCATGTCTCCCATAGTCCTTTTCTCTAAACCAGCCAAAGCCAAATCCTGCATCTGTCCCTCATATGTTTTAGTCTCCAGGCCTTTAATCATTTTATTTGATCATCTTGCACTTTTTCCAATATCTCAACATCCTTTTTGTAGCATGGTGACCAAAACTGGATGCATTATTCAAGGTGTGGCCTTACTAAGGCTGGTACAACTTAATTCTAGGCTCAATGATGGTCCTAAGTTGAGGTCTACCTGTATTGTATAAATAGTTGTATGCAAAAAAAGGGAGAAAATCACTTCCCAGATTGCAGGATCCAGAAGGATGGTTTAATCTACGTGTAGCAAGATTTTACTTGAACAATGGAAAGATTTAACTAAGGACTTAGTAAATCTGTTTTTTTTCCCCCTTTTCTTTGATAATGTACGCATTTTTATTTTTGCACTTTATTCTTTTTGTGTTTTTTAAAATCACTCTTTAAAAAACAAATAATAAATTTAAAAACCTTATGGATTAAATGTACCGTGAAGGCCAGGTTCAATTTTCATGCAAAGCAATAAGCATGAAACTTTTTTAGGAAACTGCAACGCAGCATGCTAAATAAAACAAAATAAGCTATTAAGGTTAACTGGATTCAGTCCTGGATTCCTAAATTATGGCTGATTAAATAGCAACGGCACCCAACTCACCCCAGCTGCTTCGTGGGAGAAAACTCAACACTGCTCCACAATGAAAGGGCAACACACGTCTTTACAAAAACCAAAATAATTTTTATTCACTTTTGCAGATGTCTGTCTCGACACGACAATTTGCAAACATGCTAAGGCTATAAAATGTCCAGCTGGACAAAAACCAACAAACATGCAGTGCTGACCGATCGAAACAGCTATTACAAGACTTGACCATGCCCGTCTGGGCTACCAGTCCCATACAACACAGATGGTGTACAGTAACCATGGTAACGTACAACACAGGACCAGCAACCTGAGGTAGGCCTCTTTACAATTAGAAAATGAAATTTCCTACACCAGTGTCAAAACCTGATCAGGTGCCTGCTAAAAGCTGCAAGATGCTGAGGATGTAATAATTCCATTAACGAGTATGCAAGAGCAACATTTTGTGCACATACAGTCGGGTGAATGAATAACGATTTAAAAAATATCAAAGTGTCTGGAGAACTTTCCAAAATAAACGCTAATATCTCAAAAGTCTGCATCTCGGCAGAGAAACGCCGTAGGAAGTAGCAGGGGCCAGTCTTAAAAAAAAAGATTTAGCTGCTACAGCTTGGGAATAATGCTGTACGCCAGGGGAAAAGGATCTGTGGACTTTAAAACTCCCAGAATT